AAAATGTCCTGAGTGCGCGTGAGCTCTGCAAGGAGAGAGCAAAGCGTTGGTCCATCGCGCGTGATCCCCGCTACCTTGCATAAACAAGGACGTACACCAGTGAATAATTGGAGTAAACCGGCTACCCCCTAGTAGTTTACACAACATTGGTGGTCAATCAGATTGACCAGACAGAATGTGACTTGTGGCAATATAGTTACAACGTTCTGGTTTCATTTTTAGTCCAAGGGGAAGGTTGGAGGCAGCTACCTTGGGCCCAGGCCACCGAATGCGAAACAATCTGGAGGAGAGAACGTCAAACTCGATAGGGAGAGGTTGAGAGCCTAAGCAGCTTCACTAGTGTAGGATTGGGCCCAAGGGGCCCTTCCCAAAGATTCCAAGGGATCTGAGGTCTCCGACCCTCTTGGAAGCTGCCAGGAAGAGGGAAATGCTTCTCTCGCTGGCTCACTACACCTACGACTATTTTGAGGATAATCTGCCCGAAAATGCAGAGATAATAAGTCAGTAATTTGGGCAATAAAAGGAAAAAACAAACAAAGAGGATCTTGAAGATGAAAATAGGATGAGTCACAAAATCGATGGTGTGATGGGTAATGGGTTCTAATAAGGTGAATGTTATTTAGCTGCAATCTAATGACTTTGTGGTGCTGATTAGACATAATATAAATAGTTAATTGAGACTGATATAAAAGCGGGTGGCAAGTGTACTTTGGCATGAACGGGCACTTGCCTTGAATTCATGGTGTGCACTGAGGTGGTGGTTGATGTGACTCAGCAAAGGCATTCTTTGCTTTCTGTCTCGTCGCCTCTTCCGCCATAAGGCGGGGCCTTCGCAGGTTATTCCATGTTGTTGTTTGCAACGAATCTATTGGCTGTTGGCTGTTGCAATTCTGCTATCTGCCACCATGCTCAAGCCATTTTCGGCCGTCTGAACACACGAGGGGGCGCGGGGAATGCCAGCATTGCACACCCTCCAAAGTATGATGAACGGCAATACCTTCTGGCTGTCTGAGCTTCACCTTGTTGCCATCATTCCATTTGATGGCAATAAGAAATCGAGGCACCGTCATCCAGACGTCATCAGACAAATCAGTCGAGGAAGCAGGTTAGAGGGCATCAAAGTCAGAAACGGAACTCGTCAGCAGTGTCTATCAGGTTCAATTAAATGCCCAATGGTACTTGGAAGCAGCAACAATGAGCTGCATTCTGGTACATACACTTCAGAATTACATACAATTCAAACCGCCAACGATTCGTATCAGCTTGGATTCTAGCACGTTTGTGACTGAATTATCAACTTAATTCGCAAACCAGATTCCGTTGAATTCAACTCACCCATTTGGAGTTCACCGCCAAGTCCGCCTTCTTTCCACCAGATTTGCCCAAGTTTGCAACGACACACTGAACAATGGGAAACTCACTGCAACTCGTCGCCTGCTAGTGCAACATTAGTGTCGCGACCTAGAAGCCCAGCAAGGGCAAGAAAAGTTTTCTTCGCTGTCGCTGCAGGCTGAGAAGAAATGGATGCACTATTCGTTACGTCCGCAGCTCGAGGTGAAGAACTAAATGCACTATGGAAAAATCATCTCCCACGCAATCCCAGCAGCAAATGGTGCTAGTTTTAAAGCAAATCCCCTTGTCGTCGCGTCGGATAGCTAACAGGCAATTCTGGCATTGCTGATATTTCAACAGGCGACCAGATGCGCGTCAAAACTCCCAGAAACTCGTAACGAGCGCCAACTGCGCTCGTGGCCCAAACTCGCTCAAAACAAACACCGCCGTCCGCCCCGCTGTCGGATCTTATTCCAGCACCGCCGCGGTGCTGTTCGGCACCCCCCTCGCACAGAGCGCTCTCGGCCAGCCTGCCGCCTTGCAATTGACACAGCGTCAGCCGGCCTCTGAAGACAAGACTCCCGGCGCTTCGCCGAAAGACGCATCAAACCGATCAAAACCGGCGGCCACGGTGCCACAACGGGCACGCGCATCGGAAACTGACCTACGCCCCCGACCCCCAAGCCCGTCGAAAGGACGTCCACCACCGGCGCCGACTGCCAGAAGGCGACGTCGTCGCCTCCCTGGGTGGACAAGGACCTTGCATTGTCAAGTGTTTCTGACAAGGCAAGCGCCGGAATTCGCACAGAGCGGTGCCGACGCCGCGAAGACTCTAATGGCGACGCCTCCCGCAGGCTCAGGACGCGCTGACGATGATGGGCTCAGCCCTGCCCTGCTTTCCTCCCACCCCCTTCCCCGCAAAGCCGCCCTCCCCCTTCTCCACCACCGGCACCGCCATGCCCGCCATCCCCTCCCCCACCTTGTCGCCCCCGGCCAGGCACGCCGACGTGTGGGACACCACCACGGGCTGCCTGGTCCCCCGGGCCCCGGCCCCATCCGCCCTCACCCTCACCACCAGCGGCCTGGCCTTCGTTGCGCCCCGCCGCTGGTCCACGGTCGACGAGCCCGACGACCGGACGGTGTCGAACGACGACGATGGACGGGTGAAGCGACGACACTCCCAGAAGTACTCCTCCTCAGGGACGGACTCGCCCGTGCCGCTGTGCTCCATCCGCTGCCCGCCGCCTTCGCCGCTCAGCCGGGGCACCGGGTAGCGAACCACGGAACGGCGCAGCCGGGGCGATGCCATTTTGTCCATGGCGACCGCCCTCGGCAGATGCTGAGCCTCTCGAACAGTTGAGAGGCCGGTCCTCTTGCCTCGAGGGGTTTTGATCGATTGCTGATGAATTAGGTCCTGATGATTGATCGTTTGCTGACCGGAAGGTGGCAAATTCGGATGGTACCTGGGAGAGGGCCTGGCGCTGCGCTCCTCCTCGACCGGGGAGAGGGTACCGCGGTCGAGGCTGGAGGAGCCGCTGCGGCGGCCCGGGCGGGGCGCAAAGATGTCAGCGGGCCGAGGCGGGCCCGGGGGCCCCCAGGGCTCGGGGGTAAGCTTGGCGCTGGGCTGCATTGTGGCACAGATGTGGGGCGCGCCGAACTGGAAGGAGGGGTTGTAGGAGGCGCAGCCGGAGGAGAACGAGTCTGCGGAGAAGGCATGGAGCGGGTGAGGTTTTTTACAAGGACCAAAAACAGGTCGTTCAAAGGCATCCCATCCGAACCAAGTGTGCATGAGAATCTTTTCCATGCCATGAGATGGTGTGGAGCCTTCGGTGCGACAAGAAAAGCACAAAACACAAGCACCACGAAGGGCAGAAAACATGCATTCAGGGGCCCCGTGTGAGCGGCGAGGGCGGGGGTCAGGAGAGAAGGTGTGGTTGGGCTCATTCAGCTGGGGATCCCTGGGGCAGATGGGTGGCGCCCATCTGCGGAACAGCGTGACGCAGTCTGCGGCACATGTGATGGCAAGGAATAGTGGAGAGAGGTAAGCGGGGTGAGGAAACGATTCAGCAAGGCTTGCATAGTTTGAAGACCCACCACTGTCTCGCTCGAAGCTCATCTTCAGGTTGTATGTTGCACTGTCCGTTGAGTTTCGCAGTGACGATGTGCTCAATCTTGGGTTTATCCCACCAATGCGGCTGCCAATGGAAACATCCAGCGACTGATAAGAAATGGTGTCTGCTGCACCTGTCCACCACAAGCAAGTTCTTCCTTTATTCTGTTGTGTACATTTGCTGCTACACCACACTTGGGAATCCAGGAGCCGCTACGTCCTTCAACAGGATAAGTGAGCAATTATACACACCACGTCACCACATTATCAAGCTGTTGTAGATGACTAGAACGGTGCTCAAAAATGGTTAGGACATCAGGCACCATCAGAGGATCTGGCTTGATGGCTTTTGCGAGGGGACAGATTGTGCGATGCAGAAGCAAGACCCTCCAATGTTGTCAGTAAGCGTTACCTCACTGGTTGCTCTTGACTACTCCAGCAGGCGATGTGTGGGTTGGCTGTGACATGTCCAATGGTGCAAAACATGATGCAGCTCACACTTCTCAGCACACTTCTTAGCACAAGATGCTTCTTATCAGAAACAGCCAAGTAAAACTCAGGGCTCAGCATACCATCGCTGCTCTGTGCAATGCCAACCCTGGCCTTGCCATAGCTCTGTGTGTCCTGCTGCGCAGCCTCCCTGTAGGCTTCACATTCCTCCACGCTGGACTTGCGGGAACAGAAGTTATCCAGGCTCTGCCTCTGGGCCTCCTTCATGTTGTTCAGGACGAGTTGCAGGTGCTGCACGATCACAGAGAACTCTGGGCGTTTGCGCCGATCGTGGCTCCAGCAGCTGCGCACCAGCTGGGCATACCAAGCAGGCCACGAAGGGGGCACCCGGGGCCTGTAGCCGTTCACGATGGACATTTGCACCACGGCGGGCGGCTTGCCCTTGAAGGGCACTTGACCAGCCACCAACTCCCAGAGGAGCATGCCTACGGTGCAGATTGGGTTTCAAAGACTGTGCAGATTCTTCGATACAGCGTTAAGGACAGCACAGAACACAGCCATGTACTTTGCAGACAATAGCATCCAGTACATGTCAAACTGTTGCAAGCATCTGAATGCATTTCACGTCGAGCTCGTTGATATGTGTACCCTCATTCTCAGCCAGTTCATTTCAGGCAGTCAGGCGGGCTTCTCAGCAACGTTCTCTTCTAACTCAAGAAGACCTAAAAGCCCCACATGTGGCCAGTATCTGTGAGCCTGGCCCTTTCGAAGCAACATGCCACCAGCTCAGTACATTAGCAACACAAGCAGTGCCACTTCTGCACACAATCTGGCCCAGTTCTGTAGCCAGGGGACTTGACCAAGTGTCTCACTCACCAAAAGAAAAAACATCGGCCTCTGGTGTGAGGAGTCCCTTCTGCAGCATCTCTGGTGGCTGGTGGCTCAGCGTCCCGATGGAGAACGTTTCCAGTATGTTGACACGGTTGGTGAGTCGGCTCAGCTCGAAGTCGCCCACCTTTCGAGACAGGATGCGATGTACTTTAGTGGGCTGTTCGTTGCGTACACAAGCAGGAGCATACATCCGAGACCGTTTGGTCACCTGGTCAACAGTAGACTAAACTGCAAGTTGACCTTGACATTTCCACCGATGTGTTCATGCAAAACTACAGAAAAAGGACTGAGTCAACAATAGTGGATAATGGATGCACGCAATGACATCACCATAGTCATTAAATCCCTGTCGCACGTCAACAACTATCAATTGAACACCAGCTCCAGCATCCGACTGAACCATTGGGCAACAACAAACCGCAATAGTCAGCGGTTCGACTATCGCTGCTTCGGCACTGTTCTTCAATTTCAACGAATACAAAGTCAGGGCGCACGACCTTGCACGTGAAGCCCTTGTTCGACCGCCGCTTGCTCTGCAGCAGCACGTTCTCCGGCTTGAGGTCCCCGTGCACGATGCCGCAGGCGTGCAGGTGCGTCATCGCGCGCGCGATCTCCAGCGCGATGCACAGCACCGTCCGGAAGTTCACGATCCGGAACTTGGGGTCCACGTCCGTCCAGCACAGCCCCGACTGCAGCGCCTGCGCCAGCGACCCGCGGTCACAGTACTCCATGATCACCCACGTCTCCATCTCCTCCTCGGGGCTCAGGCTGCGCCGCTTGGCGGGCAGGTGGCGCGCCAGCTCGCTGAATACGTCGCTGGAGGTGGACCGCCGAAGGTAGCTGCACACGGAGTCCCCTATGGACACGTCGCTGGGGCGGTAGGTGGAGATCCGGCGGCCCCCCTGGGGCCGGGTGCGCAGGCCCAGGATGCGGACCAGGTTGGGGTGGTGCACGTGGCGCTGCAGGTAGCCCTCCAGCGGCTCGTAGGCCGCAGAGTAGACCTGCGCAGCCGCGGACAGAGCTCCTGTCACGGCAGGGATCCAACATCGCGACCTGCGCAGCTCCCGCCTGCCACAAGGAGGGGAAGTGGCGCGAATGCATCGCCTAGTGTCGGAGAGGGTGCGTTCGCGGAGACTGATCGTGGTTGCTGGCGTCGGGGCTTCCGCTGGGGCCTTCAACGCCACGCTCCAGCAAGGACAAGCTGCCTTAAATACCGGGACTGAACTGGACTGGGCTGGACTGGAAGCGACTGGACGTGAATGGACTGCGCTGGACGAGGATGAGATGGACTCAAATGAACCGGACAGAAGCCGGACGGAGGTTCAGCCCATCGCGTGCCCCGCGCCCGCGTAGCAATCCTTTCAACGCCCAACAACTCTGCAAAACGCAAGGGATGGCCCGCCCTCTCTTTCTGCGGCCGCGATCACCTTTGCGTGGCGGATGAGCCGCACCGCCACCGGCGAGGAGTTCAGCATGCCCCGGTACACCACATTGGCGTTGCCGCCGCCCAGCCTGGGCCCCAGCTCGAGCGACCCCACAGCCTGCCGCACGCAGTCCGACGGCGTCGTGGGCTCCGTGATGGGCCTCTCGTCCCACTCGGCGTGCGGCAGCCGCGGTACGCCGGAGCTGCACCTGCGGGGGAAGGTTGCCCATCAGCGCAGCGGGAAACTCTTGCGCGCAGCGGGTACCCACTGCGAGCGACAGTCCTGTCAGACACGCTGCAAAGTACCTGAACGTCTCAGGTGTCTAGGGCAACTCCCCAACGCCGACGAAGACGTCGCAGACGTCTTCGAGAGCAACAGCACGGCACACACCACTTGAGAGCTCAGGCACATCTGGAAAACACTACACCCTCCTTCCACCTTGAAAGTGACATGCATGTGGCGCGCCTCCCCATCAGTTTCGAGGTGCCGGGGCCAGCTTCGCCACGTGCAGTGGACGAACTCAACCTTTGGGAATCGCCACACCTGCTGGACGGCATCCCCAGGCTGCTCCTCGAGGGGGCCATGGGGCTGTGCAGCTTGCTGTGCCCACAAGACTGCGCGTCGTCCCCTCCGGTCCTCAGCTTCCGCGGATGGTCCTTCCCGTGCCAATTGCCACCCTTTTGGGAACCGCCATTCCTGCGACGGGACAGGAGCCTGCCCCAGAAGCACAGGAAGCCCCCATACCTGGTTTTCTTCTTGCCCTGGACTGGCTCCACGGCCTCGACGTGGGCCTCAGGGCCCCTCCCCGGGCTCCGCGGGCTGAATGGGTCCTTGCTGCTGCTGCTGCTCGGCGCCTTCCCCATTGGCTGCTTGGGGCATGAGAAAGGGGGGAAAAGGGGGGGATGGTGAGTTCCTGCGCAGGGGCGACAAGCCACACATTTTAGAGCCAAGCACGTGGGTGGCCAGCCTCGCTGCTGGCCAGCGGAGAGGCGCCGTATTGATGTCAGGAGTCTGATGAAGGTGTCAGAGGGCATGGCGAAGACGTCAAGACCTCGAGACACATCGCAGGAAAGAATTCGAAACCGGCGAAGAAAACGGCGGCAATGGGAGCTGGGCAGGCTGTGTCGACCGGGGGGAAGGGTAGAGGGACCCGCTAAGCTCAGGGGCGCCGTGATCGACGACCGTGTTTGCCAGACCCTTCACTGCGATTCGAATCTCGCAGATCGCCGACGCACGGCGAGGGGAAGCGGACCCTGCCAGGTGCCCGTGGTTGGTGCCTTCTTGCGGACGAAAGACACACGGAAACAAGTGCAGAGGCCGAGGGTGGTTCGAGTTGCCCAGGCTGGCTCGACTCAGAGAGCCCAGCGCGAACGTTCCGAAGGCGGCAGTGCGGTCCTCCCTTTCCACTTCTCCATTCCTGTAGGACGCATGATCACATGGGTAGACGGCCTGTGCGCACAAGGGCCGCGGAAAGCACCTCACGCGGGACGGCGGTGGGTTTGCCCGTCCCCAAGGCAGCACACTGCGCGCGCGATGCGCTTCGAAAATAGCCGAGGCTGCAGCGCAGCGCCGTCAACTTACAATAGTGCATTCGCACCCTCCTCTGCGAGTCCATCGCATCACCCACTTCTGCTCTGAGCGGCACCGACTGATCGCGCGACGTCAGTCCGCCAGCTCGCCGGATGCTGACGTCCGAAAAAGTGCGCAGCAGCGTAGCTGGCGGCCTCCCCCAGGCCACAAACGAGCCCCGCTTAGTAGTTCCCACGGGCCAGTTCAGCCCCAAACTACTGCGCAGCCCGACCTGGGCAAGGCTCCCAGAAGAGCGGGGCGACGCTCGGGTTGGATCCCCGGATCGCTGGGCGGCCGTCGCCCCAGTGCGCTCCCTGTGACGGGCGCGACAGGAGCCGTCGCCGGGTCGAGGCCCCCACGCCCAGTCACCCGCAGGGACGCCTTCCCCGCTGGGCGCCGGGCCATCAAACCGGTGGCGGCCAGCCGCTCCTTGCCCCCCGCCGGGCCCCGGGCACCCGAAGCAGCGCCGTGGCGGCGCCGCAAGCGGTACATCCGTACGGCCGGGCGGGGGCAACAACTTCTGGCGTTGTGACGGGTCCGACAGGGGGCGAAGGCTCCAACCCCAATTCCAGACGCGCGCGGCGCGACCGTGGATTGTGAGTGCATCGAATCGCAGGCCGACCGGGGAGAAAGCGAAGGGGAAGGGGCGCAAAGCGGCGCGATCGTACGGGCGACTGGGTGCCGTGCGCGTCGTCGCGAACGGGCAGGAGTGCCAAGGAATGCTTAGCACCCCACTGAAAGGGATAGGGATAGATGCTGGAGCAGTTTCAGGCCGTCCGTCGCGGCAATTAGCCCTCGGGGGGGCGCGGGCGAAGCTCACACGGCCGGCGTAGGCCGCCATGCACGGCATCACCTGCGGCGCGGGAACATCCTTCACGGGGAGGACCGCGCGCGAAATCGTTGGCGCAGTTGGCGGCCAAGCGTCGCAGCTCCCGGATCGTGACCTCCCAACGGGCGAGATCGCCGCTCATGACGGAGGGAGGCCGGCGCGCAAAGCCCCGGCCGAACCTTTCCAGTCCTGATTTTGCGCCACCGTTCTGGACTGTCACCGGCAGCCGCTTTCACCGGCGGAGGAGACCGCCCCAAGCGCAGGGCAGCCCACGTCCGTGCGGCCGGCGGCTCCAACCGAGCGCCGTGCGGCTGGACTCGCGGAAACCTACGCTTCTACCTGGCCGTGCGCCGGTACAAGAGGGGGTCGCAGCCCGCCAATCATCCCAAAATGGCATTCGCCGCGGCCGTTGCAGAGCGCCGGCGGGGAGTCGCGGCGTCAATCAACGCCTAAGACTTCCGGCTCCGCGCAGTGGAGGCATCGGCGGGCGGGCATGCGTTCGACTGACCCACGGCAAATCGTATCGGGCCTCAAAACACCAATATGCGCGCACGGGCGGGCGCGATTGCGGCACTCACCGATCGGCGCCTGCCCCTCCGCCGGAGCTCCTGCTCCTACTGCGAACCGAGGCGGCCGTTGCGGAGGGGGGGCGGAGGGTGCGCCCGGGCGCGCGGGCGCCCCCGTGAGAGGAGCTCGCAAAACGGGTAGACGAATGGAGGGGGCACGAGGCCAATCAGCGACCAAGGGGGGTTGACAAGCCTGCGCGGGCGAAGCGATCTCACCATGCGGCGACAGATGCGTATCACATCAAATCGTAGCCCGTGCGCCCCTATCCCCCAAGCTCCCACCTCGGTTGGCCGCTCTTGGCGCCCGTTTTGGGAGCCCGGTACGGGCGGTACACTCTGGCGCGGCTGCGCCCACTGAGCCGTGCTGTCGTGTGACGTTCAGGCGTGGGGCCGACGTAGTGCTCCGGGGGTGCTGACGCAGGTTGTGCTGACCCAAGTTGCGCTGACTTGCTTCCCCTTTGTCGTGTTAAGTTCACGGTGGATTGATCTGACTCTGCATGCGCCGTGGGGTTATCTATTGCGCAGGGACATTCCAAGTGCCTCACTGTGTGGGTGGCTCACTAGCCGGGCAGGGGGCATCGTTGCGATTCAATGAAAAAGGGCGGAACGAGGGTTGCAGTGCGAGGAGGCAGTACAATAGTTCGACTGTACTGCTGTAAGGAGGGGTACGTCAGCGCTATCCCACGCAAAGATTATGTCACCATGCGAAATTCGCTCGTGTTTTCCAATCACGTACCTTTGGATCGGAGTGCCTGCCCGTCCCTTGGCGATGGGCCCGTGTCGAGCTGTCGACATTTTCTGAGCAGCTGTGCGGTTGTCGCGGCAGCTCCTGGGGTTGTGTCGAATCGACAAGACAGGGCTCGGCAAGCGGCCTAATTTTCGATCAGGCGCCCTGAATGAGCGGCACTACACCATACACAGGCGCATGAGGGAGGAGAGCTGCACGGTGTGCCCCTCGACAAACCATCCATGCGCGCCATCCGTCTCTGTGCATCCCCAGGACACGTCAGGTGGTCCAGGAGCACTACAACGAGGTATTATGCTTGTCTGCACTGTGCACGTGAGGTATCCCGGAAATACAACACTTGCTTCCAGGACTTCAAGATCCTCTCGTCTTCGAGATCCACAGCTGCTCGTTGTACAGGGCGGTCGCAAGTGACCATTCGGAACTTTTTGTACGTTGTTCGGGTCGCCAATATATGATGCGAAATTTATGGCAAGCTGGCGACCCGTGAGCCTCAAGAGGTGGCTAGGAATTGGCGAAAATCCACAAAAGTGGAAAAACGGCTTAGTCTCCTACAAAAGGACGAACTCCAGCATAAAAGGAGAATACGGAGGCAGCAATGCGGCAAGCTGTGTGGGTATCTCGATGTGCGCGCAATTCTACCAAGATGCGGGACGCGATACCGGCGCCAAGGAGGTGCTGCATCCCAGGAAGTGACGTGACGCTTTGGGCTCTGTGCGCCAACCCTTTGGATGTGCATGCTTGGCTTACGAAGCTGCGTCCTCACTCGGAAACTGCTTTCGACAACGCAGCACTGCTGGAAGGATGGATCTGCACCGATCGGTCGCCGCATTGCTCGCCGCATTTGCTCGCACCAGCAATCGGGATGGAGGGGTTGCGAGCACCGATGGCAATCGGTGGGACCGGCGATGGCTGCGACTCGTGACGAATCTTCGCCGATGCATCCACTGGCCGGGTGGAGGCCTCGAAGGCTGCACGGGATTGCAGCTTGCGGAACGCGCAAACGGCGAGAAGCGCCAGCGCTGGTTGTGGTGCAACGCAGAAACGGTCTCACGGGACAGGTGACGGGCTTTGGGGGGGCCAAATGGTGTACCGCTACCGGATTACTCACAGCGGCAGACAGGGCAGCAAACGTGGACATCCAGCGAGACGCTGCAGGACTGAGATCGTACGTCCCAAACGCCTTTCCAGACGGGAAGACTTTGCCCACGTCGGTCAAGCTTTTCATCAGAGGTGGTCAATGGGAACTGACCCAAGATGTTGATGCGTGTTGCCACAAATCTACAATGTCTGCAATCTACCTAATTGACGGCTATGCTACCTAGTTGCAAGCAAGATGACGGTCAATCTGTGTAATTAATGTCATTGTGCGACTGGACACTTGTGGAAATTGCTGCAAGCCCGTGCTGAATACATTGGCGAATCGGAGATTTGAACTCCTGCTCCAATTGATTGAGGAGTTCTCAAGATGCTTGCTGGAACTAGTATTGACTTCTCAGCAGCTGTTCTGCGCCGAAACGCCAAATCTGACGTGGATTTTCTGGCTGATAAATGCGCGATTTACTCGCAGCAGGCTGGGGCAAGGTGTGATGTCATTTTCCTTCAATTTTTCTGCCTCAGGCAGATGTGTTTTACATGGTTCTGTGACGCTTGACAGCCCAGTAGGGATACGACCTGCCACGCATGGAAACATCAAGAATCTGGTCATGAAAATTAGACTTTGTTGCTGATGCGCTGGTTGAGTGTATTAGTCCATTAATTAATCAAGAAATACAGTGGGCTGATTTGTGGCGTGGCTGTGACGTCACAGTGCTGTTTGTGAGCAGGACATTGTACAATGTAGTGCGGGAACTGTCGTGCGGGACTACATGTAGTGCGGGAAAATGGCAGGGGGAGTCGTAGGTGTGAACGAATATTCCTGCGAATCTTTCAGGTCGGGACACAGATTCGATTGTGGTGCTGCGCGTGTGCTGGAAAGGTGACCAAGGAGTGAAGCGATGGCCACCTGAGCGTTGAAACGGGGTTATGTGATGATTAGAAGAGCGTGCTGTGAGGTTTGAGGAAGCATGCTGCAATGCGATACGAATAGTAGAGTATGAAGCGCAAGGAGACTGAGAATGATATGAACTGCCATGTTTGGACATGACCTTATAGAAATTGTACAAGATTGGGTTGTACGGCCCATTCTGATGTAGCTATTGTATTTGGGGAGTGGCTGCCGTGCTGTGTTGGGGCCGCAGGCCGCATGTTGCTGTGCCCAGTGTCGGAGGGGCTGAACGGGACGGACCATAGTCCGTAAAATTGTAAACACCCCGTTGACAGTCTCGACGTGTGCGATGCGTGCAGACAGGCCGTGGCGCACAGCCCGACCAGAATGACTTTGCGGCCAGGAGTTTGAGGTCTCCTGCGCTCGGATATCGACAGATCGCGCCCATTGCATTCTCGCCGTGCGGGTGCATTGGTTTCCAAGCGATTTTGTGAGAATCGAAGCGGCTTCCCGCGTGTTTCTAATGAGAAACACCTTGGGTGATCACCCAAGGCCCGAATTTCTGCGTGGGCCCGGACGTGCAAGGCCTGAAGGCCCGTTTGAGTCGGGTCCTCCGTGGTGGAATCGCTGGCGACGTTTCGCAGGGGAGATGTACGCGCCTAGATTCGTCTCCTTCGACGCAAATCCTATCGTACCAGAAGACGGGTGGCTGCCATGTCAGATGGCCAGCTCTTGCAACGTCCCAGCCACCTGCCAGTCAACTTGCCGTTGACCTGACTGACTGCTACGTTTCAGCTAGTAGCTGATGAGATTCGGAATAGGGTGCGCTCTGGGGATGCGCCAGGCAACGAAGAGTGCCTGCCCAGATCCGGGCCGTACCAGAAGTCAGATCTGTTCTGTCAGCTGCTTTTCCTTGGCAATCATGAGCACATGGGTCCACATGCCGCATTTGAACGTTGGCCATGGGATCTACTCAAATGGGCACGAGTTGAGAAAAATAGGAGCCAACACTTGCGCTCTGAAGCGGGCCTGGGCGGGCTTTCTCTGTAGGCGAGTAGCCTCCTGCTTGAGACTTGGCCCAAGACCGCGACCAATTTCGTTTTGATCCAGCCCTCCCTCCCCTGGAAGTGTGAGTTATGATTCCAAGAATGCAAGTTATGCAAAGTACTGGTTTTGCTACCCTGCTGTGCACAGAGAAGCTTTGAGCGGACTGGGCATTTGTACGGAAGGAACATTGATGGGAGTGCTGCTTGGTCCACTTATCTGTTTGCATGTCAGGCGAGGAGAGAATCGCATCAAGCAGAATTCTCTTGCCATTTCGCTCAAAAAAAGGGCCACTGGCTCGATTGAACGTGTTCTAATTGCCAGTCTGGCCGTTCAGCCAGGTCAAGACAATCAACAGTAATTTGACAATCTGGAGCAAGGGCATTGCCCTGAAGGCAGCGAATCCCGAGTCCGACGGCATGCAGCAAGGACTCGGAGCTGCCCAAGGTAGTGTTGGGTGGCTGGGCGAGCTTCGAGACAGAGTAAATCCTGATGCGCAAGCTTTGCACGCTGTGCAGACACGGGAAGGTCAACAGTTTTGGGCGAGTGGTGCATGAACTGAGGTGTGTTGCCAGCATTTCATTCGAATGTGAGTGATCCAAATGACTTGAAGGATGAGCATAAGCTGCGGGAGCAAGATTTCCCACATGGCCCATTGACATGTGATTCAGGTGGGGTGCTGAGATTGAGACTGGCTAGCCCTATCGTGACTGTTTTTCAGTCGCCGTAACTACCTGTTGGTCCCAACTAGAAACCAGCTGAGAAATCACCATTTTGCATTGACTTCCTTGAACACCCCCGTTCTCACAGTTGCTCTGTCTGCCAATCTGGCGGTGATCAACATGGGAGCAATTCAGCAGAAGTAATCTTTGCACATGAAATCCATCAACTCAGAAATATAATTTAGGAAAATTGGCAGACCCTTATCATTTCTTTTGGACAGTGTTCACCTTTGCAGCTTCCTTTTGTCGCCCTAGGGAGCTGTTCAAGTGGTTGAAATGGTGACCAGTGTTCTTTCAAAGACATCTGTAGTCGACCCGCAGAAACGGAGGTCAATTTGCAGCGTCACCAAAGTACTTCAAGTCTCTATATTCTGATTCTGGCCAAGGTATATGACCGAGATGAGGTTGCATCATCTGACCGCTGTTCAAAGGCCGCAGAATGCACAACGCTGCACCAAGTTTGGAAAGAACTGAAGAGGACTCCAAAACCATGCATGGTTGATGCATACGCTTGCGTATATGTTTGCGTATACACTGCATGCAGAATTTTGGTGCGCGGGATGGGTATACAGCGTCCCGCGCATTCCCCTAAACCCCAAACCTACGCCCGCCGGATGGGTGGAATCGCACACGTGGCGTCCCGCGCCCCTTTCTACCACTTCAGTGGACACTGCCATGGATACATGGAGGCACTGCCGAAAAGGGTGCAACACTGTGTCAGGGGCACAGCGACGCATTTGTTGCCGCATCCACTCGAACCTGGGGTCTCGAGACCACGAGGGTGCTTTCCCGTTAGATAGATCCTGGAGATCCCGAACGACTGAGCCGCTGGCAGAGTTATCAGTCGCTTCGTTGGCCTTGCTCAGCCCGCGACAGCCAGCTCACATTAACGTCCCGAGTCGACATGATTGTGGTGGAGGGAGGCGCAGTTGTTGGAACTGGACGAGCAAGTACTGACGAAAGACCGTTGGCATTCCTGTCGACTCCAATCTCTGAGCCCGAGCATCGATTGTGGTGAATCTGATGTCATCTCCTTGCCGAACACCCGGGCGATAGAGGCCCAGCTGGCCTGGGAGAGTATGTGATCTGATTCGACCGTGGATGCCCAGAATTGCGCCGTCTGCACATGGCATTGGCACTGAATTGATGTCTCCTAGCAGCCCGCCCACTTGTGCGACAAATGGGGCGTGCGGCTGCATAGGAAAGTGGACAGACAATCGTGAAGGATTGGTGGAAAGTGGTTCTGAACACAACAGAGTATATTGTGGGTGTGTTGTTGCTTGGAATCGGCGTTGAGTGCTCCATCGGCTTGGGACGTGTGCCTAAATTTGGTTGTGGCGTCATTTCGCAACAAAAGAAAGTCTGCATTGCTTGTGACGCATCTGTCTTTCGAAGCGATCAACACGGGGCAAGCTCACCTTCACCTTCAATGAACCTGGTCCACTGCACAACACCACCGAATGCCGTAAGTGTTGGGGTAACCGAAGCGCATCTGCAGCAGAAATTCCAGAAGTGCATTTGCGGGAGCAATGCAACAAGCGCAACAGGACAAGCTCCAAAAGGAAGCAGTGCATCCACGGCTTTGCACATGGTCAAGGCGATGGCCGCAAAATCGTGTCGAACATTTATCTGGTGTCATCACGGGGAAATTTTCAAGCGATCCAACAGTCTGACCGGTTTTTGCCCACTCAGTAGTACGCCTCGCAAGGGCTCAGCACCAAAAGAATTACGCACAAGGAAAAACTAATACAAAGATCGCCCCTCCCGCAACTGTTTCCGCTCTTCTCTTGAGCAGTCAGCGCCCCACCCAGCGGTGTGCCGTTGCTCCCTGCCATCCCAATACCATCGGGTCCCTGGTGTGGAGCGCACCATCCTGGGGCCCACGCGCCGCTGCTATCTGTCCTCCCGAAACAGAAACCCAGGCAGCTGGTCTGAGAACAGGGCGCCCAGGGAGCGCCGAATTGACATCTGCCGACTGCAGACGAGGCACGCCAGCTCAGGGAACAGCTCTTTGAGCTGTGCCAGAAACTGCTCACTCTGTACAGTCCTGCAAGAGAAAGGCAGCCAAAAATCATCAACATGCTGCTTCAAAGTGCATGTTACATGTCCAGATCGAGGTGCGTATCACTGACGGTGCCACACAGCGTGTTGTTTGTCGGCCTTCCTTCTCAAACAAAGTCGTTGGCACTCATCTTCTGCAATAAGAGGGCGACCGCGAAATGATGTGACGAGCCCATGCAGGATTGCAGAGCGTCGATCTGCTGCTTTCGATCTTCTGGGAATCGTGCTCCAACAAGCGACAAATGGTCGCATGAAGTTCTGCTCTCGTTCACTGATGTGGGGAAGCGCGGGCTGCGGCATGGTGCAATGATACAATATGTGCAGCAATTTCATGGGGGTTGCACCACGTTGTGCGTGTGCCACTTGATAGGCAGGTGCCAACGGCATGGGCTCCAAGCATTGACACCGCTTGTCACCTGTAAGTCTCCAGCGCCTTTGCGACAAGGGGGGCCCTCATGGCCTGCTCCCACTGGTGCTTCGGCGGTGGTGGCGGAGATTCGGGATCCTCAGGGGTCAAGGTTTCCCGCATGTGGGCAGCCTCCTTAGCCGCTTGCATGATAAGCCGCTGGCAGAGGGCCAGCAACCGGGCCTCTGCAGCAGGTGCAGCACTGTCCTCTGCATCTTCCTGGTAGGAGAACGGTGACACAGAAATCTCATGGAAACGAATGCTGGCAACAACCAACCGGTAAAATATCAGAGCACGTGCGCTTTCCTCATTTCGTGCATCATCCAGCTGCAGTTGTGTTGCTGGCTGTCCATTTCTGGCCAGTGCCACTGCAAAAGCTAGGTACCTCTTGACGTCTTAATGCCACTGCCGTGGAACAAGTATGGACTTCGCCAAACTGAGGGTCCCATACAGGACATCTGGCTCAAAAATGATACAGTCATTATTGTGTTGTGTACTAATGTTGCTTTCATCAATGGGCACCTCTCCCCTGAGCAGACCCGCTTGTGTGGTGGCCCTTTTCCACACAGCAGAAAAATGATGCAATATGGCGGCCCGCGCCACAAAAAACAGCATGCAACACATAATGGCAAGGGAATGCGCACGTTCTGGGTGCCCTAAACCGACCTTGCTTCTGCGCATCACGCAGTCCTGTAGGGCCCTGATCGCCAGTGTGCCCCCTTCTGCCTCCAGCCTCAAAAGTCCCCTGAAAACGGACTCCCCTCCCTCTGGCATGCGCATGCACAGCTCAGGGAGGCCTGCCCACCAGTCGTCCGATGCTGGCCCCTCGGTCACACTGGAGCCTTCGGTCGTCGATGAACCCAGCGAATCGTCAGGCATGGGTTGGATAGTAATGCCGCCACTAGCCGGCCCTGCACGCTGTAGGGCATCGCTGCGACTGGCACTGATGGTGCGCCTTCCCAACTGGGGGGGACCCTTCATTGGAGCAACGCCGGGCCCTGGACCAACCTCATCACGAGCAGGAACCTCATCTTCCATGTCATCCACCACACCATGAGCACCGCTGCCCTCTGGTGCGGCTGGCTGTGGCGCGTGAAGCTGATCTGCTGCAGTTGGGGAACGCACAGCTTCTGCTTCATGTTCTTCATGCCCTCCATCCCTGCTCAGGGCCTGTGCCCCATCGGTGTAGCCAGAAGTCTCTTTGTTGCTGGCAGCATCAGCTTGCTGATATTTGGCATCGGCCAGTCGATCATTTGCCCTAGCACCAGCTTCCTGATTGCTGCTGTCAGCCTGTCGATCACCCACCCCTGAGTCAACTTCCTGGTTGCTGCCGTCGGCTCGTCGATCACTTGCTTTAGCATCAGCTTCTTGATTGCTGCCATCTGCCTTTGGGTCTCCTGCTTCTGCATCAGCTTGCTGATTGCCACCATCAGCCTGTCGATCATCTGCCCCAGCATCAGCGTTCAGATTGCTGCCACTGACCTTTGGACCACCTTCCTCTGCATTGGCTTCCTGGCTGCTGCCACTGGCCTGTAGACCATCTGCCTCTGCATCAGCTTCCCGATTGCTGCCATCGGCCTTTGGACCACCGTTTTCTGCATCAGCTTCCTGATTGCTGGCATCGGCCTGTCGGTCTCCACCAGCATCAATGGGACCTGGTGCAACATCTTCCACTGCTGTTGCTGCTTCTTGTGCCTGCTCTGATGGGCTGCCGAGCCCTTCAGCAGCATCAGCCTTCATCTCCTGCTCGATTTCCCCCCGACCTGGTGCCCTGTGCCAGTCCTCCATGCGACCTGGAACTGGTTCTTCACCTGGATCATCCAATTCCTGAGATTTGAAACACAAGCAAGACAAGTCGCTGAGAGGATGGCCATGAAAACACAAGAGTCGCAGTGCAGAAGGCATGAAACTGTGACAATAAGTGTCTTCCTCAAAATGCAACAACAGGGACGATGGACAAGGGAGCGTTGTCAAAGCCACAGTAACAGCTGCAGCTGCTTTTACCACAGGGCACACCAGCACTGGGTTGTTTGAATTCACTTTGCAGGGTGTTGTTGCCAAAAGAATGAATCACACAGAATCTGCTGACGCAGCACTTCCTCCTGTGTTCCAAGATGATACAACCTCACGCAGACATGGCGACAGAATGGGAATAGCGCCTCCCTGTATGCATCTCAAGAATAAGGCCCTCACATATGGCATGACCATGCAAGTGAAATTGTGTAATTTAGACCGTTCAATTTTCAAACAACCAAATTTGGCAACTCACCTGCCTGAAAAACTCATCTGACCACCCTTTGTCAGATCAGGACACAGCACTTCCGCTGCACCTCTTAATGTGATGCAACATATTGAAGCCAAGGCATCTCAAATAGCATAAACACACCACAGTAGTAAAAACCACAAAAGCATAAAATTCTATGAAATGAAGCAAGAAAACAAGGAGCAGCCCCAGCCTTCCCCTTTTCAGGCGATGCCTGGCAGGTCCCCAAACAGACCAATGCCAAAGTACATGTCCCTACCTCGTCAGAGCTCAGGCCAGCAAGCTGCATCTGTGAGAGCAGGCTCTTAGCCCCCTGCATGGTGATGTACTCCCCCATGAGCTGCAGGAAGACTGTGTCGCGGTTTGCGGTTGTCGCCTGCTGCACCGACTCCAACAGCACATCCAGCAAGTCCAGCTGCAGGCCTGGCGGCAGGGAGTGGCCGTGGTGCTGGAACACGCTGTGCACCAGGCGCTGGTAGAGGACCAGAACGTGGCAGCGGGACCTCAAGGCAGGCAGTGCCATGGGACCTGCCAGGGTGCACAGGCCAGTGTCCATATTAGTGGCACGTATCCCAACATGGTGGTCAATCATTTTGCCCCCAATCATCAAATGTATTCCAGCAGGGATGTCACAGCCATAAATGCTGCAATAGTACCAAAGTGTTAGCAATGTAGTATATTCAAACCCTCCACATCAACAAATTTTACCGTTATGCTTTTTACTCCCCATTTTGTTCTTCAGAGCATTATTTTATTTTCCATGTTGCTCAGCAAAACTCTTGACAAAAGGGCATTCTTTATTTTACTAATTCTCCAAAAAAGGCCAAGTGTTACGTTGCTATGCGGAAGGGTGGAATATACCGCGGTATCGCTACAAAATAAGTTACAAGAGCAATGTTGTTGTATTGTTGCAAGTGAGACAAATTTCCAGTAGAAAGAACAACAGGGCAGGAGGGGGAAGGGGTGGGGTGGATGGGCTGTGGTGGGGTGGGGTGGGGGGAGGGGTGCTTGCGGATGCCGGGGATGCTTGGCATCGTCTTGTGTGTCTTTAGTGCCTTTAGACTTGTATAATATACAATGTATATCATCGTCTTCAGTACAGAACAGGGTTGCACCATTTCTTGTGCCCACGAGGGGCATGCTCATTCCAAGACATGTGCCTCAATCTTGTTGAAGTGTGTCCTTACACCCACACCCCATGCATGGTTCAGCATTTGCAGCACATCAGCAGATTAAACCATTGGCATCGGGACTCTTTCAGCTTTGTTGAAGTTCATCAGACATATGCCATGATGACTGTGTCACCACGCTCTATGTGGAGGACTTTTTTTTCCAAACCTTCAGGGCCCTCCAGCCAAGCCATGAATGGCGCCTGGGCATCAGCTGTGGCTTCCTTGGGCACTTCCCTGGGGTACCCGTAGCACACGCACCGCCGCCACGCCTCCTTCAGGGAGGCCACTACCACAGACCATCCTGCAGGGTCCAGCGCCAGGGCCAGGCAGTCGATGACTGACTGTCAGGAACAGGCACGCTGTCAGTGAGCAAACACCACTGAGCACTCAGTGCTATCTGCTGCAAGGGGGCTGCCAAAAAAAAATCAAAAAAGAAACAGAACATGACAATGTCACACAATCCTGCGGGGCATGCTGCCTTAGTTGCCTTGCAGGTGTCTGGTCGTCGCTACGTTGAATTGTGACATTTGTGCTCCTGGCAGACTTGCATGTACGAAGTCCACGATCCACAAATGAATGAGCAACTAGCATTTTGACGATCTTTGCTGCAGGGAAAGTGTCCGCCAAGCAAAAAAGCAGTGAGTCTGTAGCCAATGATTGGCTCCAGAATCCCAAACTGCCAACAAGCAAGATGGGGAATACCAAATCTGAAGAGCAGGGCATGCAGCGTCCGTCACTGTGTGTGGTGGCAATGAATTTGTTTACATTTGCCAAGACGTGACTAATGCTGGCCATGCACCTGATAGGTGATGATGGGCATAAATCCATCAAGATGTTCAAGAATTGCCTGTCTGTGTGTGAGAATATGTACCAGTGATCTTAAGGTGCCAAGGCAGCAGGTCTGGGATCAACAAAACTAACTTTGGCATCTTCCAATACAATGCACAACACCACCAAAGTCGAGGCATCATTTGCTGTGACGCACAACCATTTACAGCCAAAGGGAGGCTGGCATTTTACTACAAGCAGAAGCCCACACCCCATGCTGTGCCGTCAACCGAATTGCTACAAAGCAACATTGAGTGAGTGGACCTGCTCCAGGGCGTGGTATGAAAACAATCAGGCAAAGCCATGAGACTTGTCATTGCATTGAATGTGCAAAGGCGGCACATAGCCACTTGTAATGAAAATTTAGACCAAGAACTGATGACAATCAGGTGTTTAGCCCGAACTTGTAAGCATGTCACAAGCCAGCCACCTGCAGCAATGCCACCCCCTCCACCGCCACTGTTTGAAGGGACTGTGCCATCCAGCCAATGAACAGGTCCAAGCAAAGGGGCAGAAGCAACGGCCCAATCTTGGCATACTGACAGCTGACAACCAGCCACAGATTGGGCAAGTACTTGCTGGAGAATGACAGCAGGCGATCGATGCCCCCAGGGATGCTGTATCGATCCTGCAACAAAAGATGTGCTCTGCTTCAATTGATGTTGAAGCAATATATGAAACAAGAAGTAATGAATTGGCAGCCATGCACCTGGCACTTGAGCTCATCGGTGCATCGGAGCGACGGTGCCTAGGAAATGCATGTCTGCCCTCCAAGAAAAGACAGTATGACAGCAGCATCCCCCTCGAATCAAAGCATGGGACAGATTGCACACAGGATACTTCAAAAGCTACACAGAGGCAGTGCTCCCTGAACGGTAACTAGCAAAACCCACTGGGGCCAGCCGCATGCTCACCTCATTCATGTCAAACATTCCACACACAGCGTCCCTGAAGAATGCCTGCCACGTGTCCAGCCCCCAGCCATTGCTCATCCCCCCATCGATGAAGCCAAACAGCACCTCGGCTGCCAGGTCTGCACATCGCCGCCGGCTGTCATGCGTGATCACATCCACAAGTGCTGCAAACAGCCGCTTCCAGGCTGCGCTTGGGTTGCTGAATCCCTGTGGGGGGTGGGGGCAGGGTGAGGTTGGCGGCTCCAGTGTGGGGGATGGGGCACTGTTGCTGCGGGAGAAGGAGTCGACGTTGTCATCAGGGAAGCCATTCATCTCTGCCGATGAAGCGCGTGTGACTGCCAAGCGCAGAAAGCACTGGTGTCAAGGGAATGAGGAATCGGAAAGTTGCACCTCTGCACAGAGTGCTGATGCCAGCTTGCATGTGTGATGCTGGTGGGGGTGTCTTTTTGCTGCATAGAGAGGCAATGGTAGCACATTTAAGCATGTGGTCATATTTATGGTCAAGCCAGAATTTCTTGCCACATGCAGAGAGCACATAAACGCTGCTAGCTGCTTGCTAACAGCTGCAGGCAAATCAGGTGGTGCAGTAGCTTGTGTTGAGTCCACAAACTGCTTCAGCAGCTGATTTCTGCCACCTTTTAGCACGTTTCTTGCATATCATTGACGAAATTCGCCAAAACAAGCCGCTGCCAGCTCTAACGATGTGCACATAAACCCGAACACAAATCGGCCCCATTCTTGTGCATTTTGCCCTGCCCTTGCAATGCAAGTGCATGTGCATTTCCCCACTGACTTGTTGCGATTTGAATAGTCTGTCTGCGCACTGTCTTGTTCACAAAGCCACAAGCCATACACTGCGGTGTAACTTCAGTTTTGGTTTTTGCTTATGGGCAAAAGTTCTCTGCCTTTCGCGCTCTCTGACTGCAGAAGAACTGCAAACATGCAGCGCACAACCGCTGCAGTGTCCTACCAGGTGAGCCGCCATCAGCCAACACAGGCCTGGCCAGTTCCTCGCCGCACGTCCTTAGAAGACGGATTGCATCCAGGCTGCAGTCAGTGTGATATGGGTTCCGTGAGGCTGCTGCTGCTGCAGTGATGCACTCTGCTATCACGTCGTACCCCTTGCCCCACCAACCCCAGTGCCGCCGAACAACCGACTCTACTGTGTCCAGCACCTGGCGGAGGACAGAGGGGGCAGGGTCCTCTGCAGCGCACACCAGCAGCTCCATACCCACTGCCCATCCTGTGTGGCCATTGAAAGAGATACCCAGTCAGAGCCAAAGAAATGCTGATTTGCTTCACACGCGGAAAGTACGATAAACCAACAATACATAAACGCTGCTGGACACTAGTATTTGACTGCCATGTGGGCAACGATCATTCCTGTTTGCGGAGTGCACAGACAGCATATAATCCATGCTGACCTGTCAAAACTACGCCCCAACATCTGTAACTCCTATTCATAGGCTATGCAGGCACAGCGAATCTTGCACAGAGATTGCAATTGTAGAAATATATCTGATCAGCAGCAATTGCAGTCTGCCCCCAAGTCCAACCTGCACAATGGATTCGTTGTCAGAAGTATGCTGCTGGCAACAATGTTTCGTTCAGAAGGACACGCCCACCCAGCACAGCCCACATGTCACCTGAACCAAGTCGCTTGCTGTGCGTGTTCATGGCCTGGTCCACACACTGCACTGTCAACTCCCGCACTGCCACGCTGCTGCAATGCTTCTCCACCATCACAAAGGGCCGCAGGGCCTCCCCTTGGTGCGTGAAGTGTGCCAACTCCGAGCGTGAAAGCAGCTTGCCCACCAGCTGGCGCATGGAGTCCACTGCGTACATGGCAACGGTCTGGTCAGGGTGGCATGCTGCGCCCACCAAGTGCGCAGAGATGATCGCCCACAGGCGGCCCCACACCAACCGGATGCGGCCAAGGTTGTAGTAGGCACACTCCACCAGCTTCCTGAGACTGAACACCCTGCACGTTGCCAACAATCTGTGTGAGCAGGGTCCGCTTAATCCAGTGCACTTTGCCTTTCCAAATCAGGGCACCCTTTTCCTCTTGTTACTTTGGGGAACGAGCCTTCACTTTGGAAAAACAATGAAAAGCACACACACATGCATACAATGACGAGGTGAATTGACAGTGCAAGGCATTTGGTTGCCAAGTCTTGCTGGTGAATGCAATGCTGGAATTCCTAAAGCTCGTGGCAGATGCAGCACACCTTGGAGCGGTGTCGTCTTCCGGGTTAAGTTCCTCTTGGCTGACAGCGCACAGAGCCCGAGTGAACACCAGCACTGCATCGCCATTAAGGGTGCTGCTGGCAACATACACGTGGTCCGTCTCGGCACCCCCCTCACCATCCGCCCACATGCGGACAGCCGTGCCAATGGAGTGCGACCTCGAGTGGCCACGTGACGTGGCAAAGCCGTATCCCCCTGGGCAACAAAAATGTGCTCTGAGGGCAATGGGGCTAGCATGCAGGTTCTGTGCTGCAGCTCTTGGGGCCCCAAGCAGTGCACTGGTGGCCGTGCCAATATGTTTGGGAGGCAGATAACTTGATGGCCAGACAATGGCATGTTCATGGGTGTCATGTTGCACAACAGGCAAAAGGACGCACATTGTCTGTATACCTCAAAAAGGTGAGTTGTTGTGCTGGCAGAGAATTAAGGGCCCCCCAAGACCAGTGACTGTTTTGCCGTTGCTCATGGGCAACATTCACAGGAACAAAAACACCTTTCCTCAGTCCAACAGTCAATCACCGTGATGGTCAACTCTGAGCTTTTGCCTCTTGATTTAAGAGTCTGGTGCCAAGAGCCTTGAAACAAAGACACTGCCAATAGAATTAAGAACAGATAAGCACTCCATCTTCTTCCAGCTGCGATGTACCAAGCCTTTGGTACATACCATGTGCAAGACATAACTCCATCTGCCTTGCATGCCAGGGGCAATTGGGGCAGTCTTCCCAACACTGAGGTGTTGCTATTCTTGCACACAAATGAAGTAGCCCATCACAGCACAAACTATCCAGCCTCTCCATCGAAGGCGCATGTTTGCTGGCATGGTGATTGCACAAAAGAGAAAGCTCCCAAGCAGAGGCAGACTAAACATTCCACAAAGTTTGTGTTTAACTTGACCTCGATGCATAACTGTCCATGCAGCAGCCTTTCACCAATTACTGTGTCAGTACATACTGGCAAAAGAGCCATGGGCTACCGATTGTCCCTAGTTGGATGCTTATTTGCACCCATCATTCAATGGTGTTCCACAGTTCGAGTCCCATTGACATATCTGGGAATCCAATCGCACATTTAATCAGCAGTAGTGCCCAACACAAACCCACAGGTGCAAGGGAGAGCACCTGCCACACTCTGACACATGTGAAAAGTTCATACAATGCATGAAATGATGCCTGATATGGAAGATCAACAATGTTAAGATGCCACAAACCAGTCTTCACCTGCGAGGTACTGGGGCACTGCATGATTGTGTGCTACTGACAAATGCAAACAAGGGATTTGATCGTCATTGTGCACATATCTTCACCTATCAACCTTGTTAACAACAAAATTCTTACCTTTTTCCTGCTTGCTCCTATCCGCCCCAGATTTGCCTTTCTCCGTCCCAAACCCAAGACCGGACAGGAACCTGCCAATGGTGTGGCTGCCGCTCGATCCCGACTTCTGCCAGTCAAGACCTGAGAAGTCCAGTTCGAGCTTCCCCAGCTTGAAGCCCTTGAAAGGGGCATCCTGAAAGCCTTGGGGGGAGCGCCGCATCTCTGACACCAGAGCTTCCACCGAGGAAAGGGTTCGAAGGATGATCGTCCAGCTGCTGCCCAGCAGCCCTGCCTCCTCATTGGTACCCAGGTTCACCAGAGCTCTCAAGGCAAGGACTTGGCAGTGAGGATCTGACAAGGGACAAAGAGCGCAGTCAAAATGTGTGCCAGATGAGTATCAAGCTGCTGAGCACCATACACTCAAGCACTTTTGAGAGAAAGTGTAACGAGTGAGAACACAATGGTTGAAAAATTAAACTCGGATACATTTTGTGCCTTGTTGAGTAACCAGTCAATTTTGGGACCCGAAGTCCAATTGTGTGTCCTTGGCAACAGGGTATCCCCTGTCAAAAGCAGGGCATTATGGGACCTGAAACTGGATTCAATTCTGGTGCAACAGAAAACATTACAGACTTGCGCGCATGCTGCGAGTCAAACTGCTGCAATCCAACAACTTCAGCACAACAGCATACATTCACCAGAGCAGCAATTAGTGATAGACTCAATGCATTATTCCTGATAGGAGCATAGCACAATACTATGTGTTGGTACTGAGTCCTGAACTCATTTTGTCCTCCTCTGGATGCAGGAATGCAAAAGACTGACACATTTCAACAAGCTCTTAGATGACCAGCTGTGCAACATCGAAGAGAAGTGCTTATTCACAGGCACCTCCTTTTCACTGTGCAAATTGTCATCCCTCAAATGTTGATATCTATCACATTCTCTTTGCTCTTACACACAAAGAGAGTCAATATGAATATTCAACTGATTGCTGGTGAGAAGTGTTGCAGTGCCATGGAGTGCGACATACTGTCAAATATTCCTGTGCAAAATGGAAAATTGCTGTGCCAATGAATAAATACTGTACAAGTGCACTGTGATTTTGGCCATTGTTGCTGAGCAAAGAGGACATTTTGCGCCACAGACCAGGACTTGCGCAGCTTTAAAAGCACTTTTCGAGAAAAAATAGGTTGCAAGAAAGAGGTAAAGGCGACTGTGAGAGCACCAAGAGCCAACGCCCAAGCAATGACTGACTGGGGAGAACAGAGAACCAAAGACTGTCTACGTTGCCACATGTTTGGATGCCAATGCAGGGATAATGCAAAACGCAGTTCATTCCAATGCTGACACCACACAAATGCACTGGTTGTGCAATGAAGGGGTGAGAACACACAGGGCTCAACTTTTCCAGATACACATCCAGGGCAGTAGTCCAGGTCACTGAAACACATAGCAACATTGCAACTGCGATCATCTTACTTGCTTGCTGGAGTGCCGTCTTGCTTTGCACACCAGTGGCCTGTGCAATGGCCCCCACAAACTGGCCACACAACACATCCAGACTGAACATGGCAGCAAGCCTGATGCACATAACCAGTGCCTTCACAGCCCTAATGGCAGCATCTCTGTCACCCGCGCTGGCAAGTGCTGAGGCAACAGAACGAAGGAGGTGGGGCCCGACAGCCTCGAGCATGGGACTGGCATGCTCGGCATGGGAACCCGTGTACCACACGTCACCGCGCTTCACCCCAGATGCGACCACACGTTTCGTTTCTTCGATCAGGCGCAGCTGTTGAACCTGTGCCGCATTGTTCCTGTCACACAATGTGCTGGACCTGTGCAAGCAAATATCTCAACCAAATGAGTGCTTTTCTTGCAGGCATTTGTCTTTACATCAACCTGCTGCCTTGCTCTATAAGAAAGCGTTCTCTGTCAGAGAACGCGCACTGTGCTGATCAGTTGGAGTACATCATCGCTTAGCAGGGTAACAATGTGAATCGCTCCACATGCACAACTATATTGCAGGTCTTTGGTCTCTTCTTGCCAACCTTGATGTTTGTGCACTATTGTGATTCCTTAGCATCCACAGTCTTGACCCCTTCCCCCTGGCTTCATGGGGAGATGGACACACCCAAATCGAATAATGCCTTCCCATGGTTGGGCACCCAGTGAGGATATTCGAAACTGTGGCCAACACAAGATGCAGCACACACAGCACTTCACACTTTGATAGACGTGAATTTTGTGCAATGCACAGGTATCCATTTGTACATGATTGGACCCATACCTAAATGGCATAGAGAGTTGCGTCAGACCGATGGCTGCAGCCAGCCTCTTGTGAACAGCTGCCACTTCGGCTTGTCGTTTCTTGCTGGGCTTGGAGTTCCGTGTGTCGATCTCATTCGCCACGATACGATCGTAAATGCCCTCCAACTCTTCCTCAGGTAGGAACTGAAACCACAATAGGTACAGCGCACAACAGAGTCAACCAGCAATGGCAGTGTCAATGACACCTGAGGAAGGTGGTGGAAGTTGTTGCCAGGACAACAGCAAAACTTAGGCATCTTCCTCTTCCATCCCAATCGACCAATGGCCTGCAGCATTCAGTGTTCTTGCACAGAAGATACATTGCCTTGTTTCCCTTAGCTTGCTTTTCGTTGGTACACCATCACTATGCGCTTATCTACACAGCATATCTCCTATTGCATAGTGTTCCGCAGGCAACAAGCTTCTCATGCTGCAGGTCCTGCAGTGTCCCTCGCAGGTGTTCAACATTGTGGGTGATCTTTACTTGCAAAGAAAAACACACCATTTCTTCCTGCACCTGAATGCTGCTTATTTATCATGTGTGGGTGTCTAAGGAGTAGGAACTCACAAAAGCTTACTCTGAATCTAAACGAAACTAGGGGCCACAGAAATTAGAGCACTTCACACAGTGACAGTGCAAAACAACAGGAGCTGTGAGAACTGGTCAGACACAAAATTGCTGCCACTGAAGTTGCTCTTGCAACTGCTCAAGGGTATGTGTAATACAGAATCTGTGGAAGACAACAACCCGCTAGTGGCTTTGCAAACTCGTTCTGGCTCATTCACTGACTGTCACAAGGAACAAATAAAACGTGTGACTGTAGAAAATGCCATCGAAAAGGCAAGATCAACTTCAAATGTGTCTAGCATTCATGCCGCCAAGGCCATGCCTTGGAAGCGAATGTCTACTCACCAGGACAGAGCCCTGACCCTCCACCTCCTTTCTGTTCATCGACAGGAACACTTCCTTAGTCAGCTTCTTGTCAGCCATGGGGTTGTGGGCGTCTGTGGTGAGCATGATCGTTGCAAAGGCCAGCATGTACGCATCATCGGCGGTCTCAAACTTATTTGGGTTTTCCTGCACATATCTCGCGGCGAACTTTTCCATGATCCTGTCGATCTTTTGCGCTTCCCCTGGCAACCTGAAGCCAGCCAGTAGCTTCCTCAGGGCCATGTCTATCGTCAGCGACTTGTACTGCTCCCCGTCGATGTATGCATGCATCACTGCGATCGGCATCTCATCATGATGCCCAAGGTATTCGCCCATCTGGGTCTCATCCAGCTGGTCGCGGTTCTTCCGAATGAACCTGGCAAGGTCAGTCAACAACCCTCACTCAAGAACTTGGATGACTTGTTTATAAGCCAAAGCCAATCAGCTGCATCAATCAATCTATTGAACAATAGCAGACATTTCAACATGGCTGTGATACATGATCATACATGCGCTTTTGCCTATCAAGTCACAACCTCATGAGACAAACAGTGAACCACACCTCAATATTCTATGTGCATGTCAAGTATCTCAACACACATTGATCACTTTTCCCTCCAAGCAGACAAGCATAGCCATGGTAAGACAGTTGTTGGAGACCGCAATCTGCACAGGGCTTCTACAGGCCCTCAGAATCACATGGCATATGTATGGCCATTGAAGGACAGATACACATTCTGGGTGAGGTGGCAATGTCATTGCTTAATGCAGCAGACACTTGCACTCCACCCCAGCCTCTTGACACCAATGTTCTTACTTATGTTCTGAATCCAAACTTTCAGCCACAGTCAAGAAAGTAAGCACTACCCCTATCCTGCTGTTGTTTTCTTCTTTTTGATTACAGCATTTTGCCACATACATACCTGCTGTTGATGTTGCTGATCAGATTGCACAGAGGTTCAACAAGACACAGCATACTGCCTCCTTCCAGCATTATAAATCTCAAATGCATCCACAGTCCAGAACCACCCTGTGCCCTAAACCTAAAACCCAAAACAAACTACACCAGAACAGTTTTCACAGTTTCAGCGCACAGTTCACATTGCTGGAGCACTGTCATTCTTCATCACAACTTTTGACAAAAATAGCAGCTGAGGATCCCACTCCCAACCCACCTGGCAATGTCTGCAGGTTTGTTCTGAACGATCCCAGCAGCCACCAGTGAAGCGATCCCTTTGATTGGATGCCGGTTAAAGAGTTCGATTCCCACGGAGGCTTGGTTCTTGGCAGCCTTGGCAGCACCAAAGTGGTGCACCTCTGAGGTGTCCGGCAGCTTGAGGGAGCCGGAGTTGCTGAGAGACGCATCCAGGGAGGCAGCCCTCTCTGGCTCCATATTGAGGCGCTCCATTTCCACAGCATCTCGTATGGGGCCTGTTGTGGCAGCACAATGCATCGGGCACAGGCAAAGGCGGCAGGGGCCGAAGCAGTTTGACAACAATGAGTTGGTGCCAATGGATTGAAAACGAAGTCAATAGCAGCCAGCAACTCATTGCGGAAGCAGAGACAGAGGGGCCAGTTGCAGCAACGACCACTTGGCCAGGTATGCCACACAGTTGTTAAAGGCAGGTCCATCAACCCATTGGCCCGACGGTGTGTGCTGTTGAACTGTTTTGCAACTATTTTCAATCACATGGGAAACTCTCCGATCATGTCTCGAAATCCCACACACCATGGGGATGCCCATTGTCTGCTCGTTCGTTTTCCTTATCTTATGAAACATTGGAAGCCTTTGCATTAACAGAGCTCCAAGCCAACATTCCTGGCATCCCGGCCACTCCTTCGCTTTACCAACTCGAGTTTCGTCCTGAGTTTTCAAGTAGACCTTAACTGCTGGGCTGTGCTAATAGCATTCTTCAGTGAGCTATGTCAGAGTGTCTATTGGTCTGTATCTTTTCCCCAAGGTCACTGCTTAAAAGGACCAGCATGCACAGAAGTGCTCAGTTCTAAGAATAGAGTTTATTTTATTTCTATTTCTTTAATCGTTAATTCTCTTTCTTTTAATTATTAATTATTTTCCTTTTAATTGTTAATTCTCCTTCTTCTAATTACTAATTCTCTTTATTTTAATTATTAATTCTCTTTCTTTTAATGTTTTTACAAAATTCCATGCGGCTTGTCTCTCAGGGGTGGCCCCACCAACCTGACCACGCATCCAGGCTTGCCACCATGGCCAGTGCACAAGCTGCAGCTGCATCACGGACCAGCGCACTCTGCCCCGGAGCAGCCGAAGGGTCTCCAAACTCAGCCAGCTGGCTCAGAGCCTTCGCAGTGCGCTCGTACAGATTGATGGAGTGCATGTCACAGTCGAAATTGATGTAGAGGTCTACCTGCCAGCGGCACACAACCCGATGCTCATCACAGTGGATTCTGGCAGGATCATCATTGCGCATGCAGAGCAGCAGATTGCTGGGAGGAAAATCAAAGGCCAGTTTACGAGTGCTCACATAAAGCATGGGAAGCACTGCACAAGCAGCGCAAACAAAGCATTAAAGTTAAAATGGATGCACCTCTTAGCACAGATCGGGTGTGTCTGCGTGGAACCCTGTGTCCCATCTATCACAGCATAGACAGCAAACTCACAGCGTTTCTGTTCCAGAGCAGCGGGCCCACTGCATGACAAGTTGTCCTTCGTTACAAAGGACCTTCCATGACTGCGAATGGTCTTGTGCACACAGACGCCGCTATCTGTGAACAGCGCACCTGCATCTGTGGCTCTTTGCAGAGGCGTTTCAGGGCTGTGAGGACCACTGTCAAGATGGCAGGCTCCAGTGGGCCAGCTTCGATGGGCCTTAGTAGCAGCAGGGGGTAAAAAGCACCCAGCTCGGCTTTCATCCACAGCCGCAGCTGGCGTTGGAGGATGATAGATATGTAGAGGCGCACAGCATATTGGAACCCCTGACAGCACACACAACCAGTGTCATTGGCATTGTTGACAACAGCTCATCCAACGATCCCTGCATGTTGCACAACCCGACAGCTTCTACGACTTGCAACTGAACGCAATGCAGCCACCAAAATTCAACAGAAGTGGCACGTATGCTGCAACAGCACAGCTCATGGCCAGTAAAACCAAGACACACCTTGACTTCTGATGTGCTGCAATTTCTGAGCAACACCATGCACAGGGGTCGCCTCAATTGGTCACAGTAGTCCGGCCTCACGTTGTCCCATCTGTGGCTCACATTCTCAAACACCTTCACCAGCTGCTCCAACGCAAGCAGCTTCCCCTGGCGGACATAGGACTGTGCAGCGCCGCTGACCGGCACAACAGAAGCCATCTGCGACCATCAAGATCACAAGCAGACATTCAGTCAGCAATCAGCGGGTCAATGTGAAAGTGTCAATGCCAATTTACCAGTCAGTTAGGTATGCACGGTGATCGGTGCTCTTTGTGACATGCAACCCCACACAAAACAAGCCCAAATGCCATTTTGCGGAGGCATTCTGAGCCACCAATTCACAACTCTTCTGTTGTCCCTTTCCCAGGCAGACATCAGAGTATGGCCTGCTGCATCCACAACATTTTTTCCGCTGGCACCGCATCATTCGTTAAGTCCATTCCCAGTCTCAACCATTCTGAACAGCACATGCACAGCAATATCAAATCTGCAGCTGACACTGTGGTGCTCACAAACTGCCAATCACCACAAGACAGTGCACTGGCAATGCCTGGCACATCATTGTCCCAAACATCAGCAGTGCCCAAATCTTTGATTCTCTATGGGGACCTACACTGTCTCTGAGCCAAAATACCGCAGTGGTTGCCGGCTGAACTCAATCTTGAATCAGCATTCTTCACATTCCACACAGACAAACACAGAATGCAGTCACAATTCTCAGATTTCATGTCGGTCACGTCTTGGAATTCACATGGGTTGCATCAACAACCAATTCACAATAGAGATTGCCCCACAGCATGTCAAAGGTCTGCCCCCACCTTGCAGAAAGACATCATCACCCCAAAGACGTCCTTCTCAAGCATGGTCAGCTTGTCCCATCCCTTGGGCCACTTCATCAAGTCCTTCATGTACTCACTTCTTGCCGAGTTTGGGATGGCAGATTCGGATGCGTCCTCGCTGCCATCTAGCTGCTCCGATCCACCCCCAGCCCCACCCTCCCCAGAACCCCCCTCGGCCTCTGCCTCCCGCCGTTCGGCATCTTTGAGAGCCGCCTCAAGGCCCTGTATGTCCTGCTGTTCGGCCAGGTTCACGAGCTGCACTGTCAGGCTGTTGGAGCGCTCCATCTGCGGGTCTGCAGGTTGCGCACCCAACATCAAATCAAGAAAAACACCTGATGGGCAGAGGTGAACAACACGCAGAAAAACCAATGTGGATGGTATCATGGAAGTCATCATCGTGTCCTTGCAGTTTGAGCAAGGGCGATCAAAGACAAACAAAGACAAGCAGCATAACTGGTTCGCAAACCACTGGTACTGGCTGGACTCACCAGGCACAGCGTTGGGGTTGATCTCCTGTTCCATGGGCTCCTCCTCGCGGTTTCCATCTTTCCTAGTTTCATCTGTGCTGGGCATGCCTGCTTTGTGTTCATCTGCTCCTGGCTCAGGTGATCCAGTCAAGCCTGGCGGGCCAGTGCCATCGGCAAAGAGAGCACTCGAGTCTGAGGCCTGGCCCCGCTTCACCACCACCAATCCAACTCCGAGTAAGGGTTCAGAGTTCAGGGCTGCTCCTTTTCCCTTCCTATGTCTCTCAATTCAACACCTCAACCAATAGCTCCCAATATAAGATGTTGCACATAAGTAAAGTAAATGACCAGAACAAAACAATGGATGATATCCTCAAGTAGCGACTTTGATATATTTGTGGTGACCTGTTCCCACACTCATCTTGGTGTGCCCCTTGCCCCAGCAGAAGTTGATATGGAAGCAGGCCAAGATCGAAACCAGGATGAACAAAATCACTAAATTTGCAACTGTGTTGGAAACGTAGGGTGCACCCACCAGCTGGTACTGTGTAACGGTAATTCTCTTCACTGTGGTATTCAGCATTTGCAGCAGGGCATTGCTGGCTGTCCTCTTCAGGTTGCCATCTTCCACACCGACTGCAAGGTTGAACACTGTTCGCACCTGGGCAAGCAGCCAACGACACATGGAATGAAACGAAAGAGGAGAGCAACAAACCTTGCAGCTGGCCAGAACAACAACAAGTGTTTTGAGTGTAGCACAAATGCCACAAGGTCCCTCCATTGCTCACTGAGTAATCCAGCACGCATGTGGGTGATGCATGAAAGCCTGGAGAGAGAGTCGACAGCAAATCTGAAGGAATTGGGCAAGCACCACATTCTGTAGTGCCAAGTAGCCACACCAAACTGTAGCACAATGTCCCTTTGCACGATGTAACAGTGGAGTTACCCATTGGGACAGGCATATGCTGGAGGTCTGCATGTTCAGAAGTTTCAGGCAATGCTGCATGCAAGCTGCCGCAAAGAGGTCAGTACTGGCCAGTGCATTGACATTAGAAAAGTACAATGTTACTCAATACACTATCCCAACTTGCACGCACCCAGGCTGGCCACAAAAAGACAATACAATAATCGATTCTCACAACATGAGAGTGCAGCCAGAGACATACAGTTACATGGGCCCCACAAGGACATGCACTTAGCAGCATGTACGACAACATGCACAGATAGAGCATGATATTCCATTATTATTCCCCTTGCTGGAGGCAGGACAAAGCACTGCTCAAACATCAAACTGCTTCCAAAACTGTTGAAGCAATGCCTCACCAATAATCATCTGGACAGTTATTGAATGTTTCAAACAACACTGGCCTGATGACATCTTAGCTGCATACACACTCCTGTATTGTTAGCACCTCAGCTGCCTGTTAGGACTCTAAGGCTGACACAAGTTGGGCAATCACATTTGTCAAACATAGAATGTTCTATCTGATTCGTTGATGAGTCCACGTATTGATGCTTGACTTGACTTTGTGTAGCTCCCCTCCAACTATCAGCACAGTACAGTGACCTGATGATGGTGAGGAAGGGCCCAGCAAATAGCTGGGAAACACTTTGGAGCACATTTGTCATCCATGGCCAGTGCGTGCCATCCCTGGCATCTGAAAGGGCTGCATCACCGCATTTTTAACAAGACTAAGCAAGAATGATCCACAACCAAGTCGGAAGACCGCGAACATGCTACCAGCACTGCGGGGACATACCGTTAGCAGTAGGCACTTTCCATGAGCCAGAAAATGCTCAGCAGTTGCAAACGTCAGCAGGGACTTCACAACTGCCAGGTACACTTGCTCATTTGCCAGCTCCGAGCATTTAACAACCATGGCCACAATCTGCCAACATCAACAGAACATAGTCAGCTTGCCTCAGCAGGATAATTTGCAAAGATCATATGACAGGCGCCACTTGCATTCAAAGCAGAAGTCGCAGCGCTTGCTTGTGCATTGCCCCATGCACAGTGCGCCCAGGTTTGCCAACCGTTGTACAGCAAGCACAAGGGGCCTTGGCCAGCAGACAAGCACAGCCAGTGGCATACCTCAGAAAGTACAAAACTGCAACCTCTGTCCGAGATTAATTGTCGTCTATGGCTTCATGGCATTACTTCTCCATCGTACCCGCATCAGCTTTCGATGAAATTTCACCCGAGGCTGTGTTTGCGAGTTTGGAGTACATTGTCGAGAAACAAATTTTCGGGTCAATCCATTAAGTATGCAAGACTTGGCAATACCTTGTAGCAAAGGTCCTCTGGCCAGAAAACGGCTGGTTTCTGACGTCGTGGCGAAAACAGCTGTTTTCGCTATTTTGAGGAGCACACCTTTGCGGCAGCGAGACAAAGAGGCCCATGCAAAACTGTCCATGCTGTTCAAACTGGAGGTCATCACGGTGCTTGCAAAGAGGTACGGCGACCAAAAACGCATTTTGAAAGCCCTGAGCGTCAAACTCGGCCAAGGCTTACAGCTATAATTCAAGCTCGATCTGGTGCATTGGAGCAAAGTTCCGGGTCCGCAATTCTGGGCCAGGACTTTGCAGCCTCCATTGCTGCCATTAGGGCAACCGTGCAAGGCCTACCAATCCTCTTCACAACGTGCAAGATAAGGTTATGGCCATCACCCCATTCAATCGCAGACAAGTACAGAATGGGCTATTGTTGCGGCACTTGCAAAATGACCTTGTTTTGGCAATTGAAAGGATTGGGGCTAGGAGAATGGCTACCAGGGCGGCAATTGAGACTCACACAGCTGCGATGGACTGTGTACCATGCACAAGAATTGGCCGCCAGAGGGGTGTATGCGGATTCTGGGCTGACCCATACACGAAAGCTTCGATTCAAGCATCAATAGAGGTGGAATGTCCAAGCAAGCTACAAAATAACCTTGGAGAAATAGCCTGCACTGAACCCAGCCTTCAACATCTTGGGATATCAGCCTTTTCCGCTTGGCGAAGGTCCGCGCATCGGAGATTGAGAACATCGCGGATTTCCAGCATCGTCCTTGCCGTGACATTGGCCACCTTCGAGAAGGATCCCAGCATGGTCGAGTTGGTTTGGCAAGAGCTACGCCACATGCCAGATGCCCCCTTTCGCGATGGCAGTGGCAACAACTGGCTTTGCTAATTGCAAGCATGGGACCACCCCAGAATTCAGGGGATCTTTGGGAATGCAGAGTCTGAACCAGTTTTTCTGTGACTGACCTAGGGCAATATTTGGAGGCTGCTCGCAGGGGTGAGGGCTGACTTGTCTTTCTTGAAAACTGACACATAAGGGTTTTGAGACCCAATCTTTCCGATTCTGGCCTTCTTTTGTAATTCAGATGCTATTTTTCATAGCGAAATTTCTCTTTCAAATAGACCACGATGAATCTTGGGCAGAGGAAGTACAGGGCACATATCCCTAGTCTACAATGCCCTGCACCAAACAGGGCCAAATGCGCTACACAGAGTGGGGACGATTCTTTTTTTGCCATCCACCCAACCACCCAACCACAACAAAAGTAAGCTGACAACTGCTTTGCATGTGCTAAATTTGATGCAGCACTCCCCAAGCTCAATAGGTAAGCAGAGACACACATAGAGAACAAAGTATGGCATAAAATGTCTTATGCTTCTGTGCATATCTTCTCTGTGTATCTTGAGTGCAGGTCAACAAGCACTCAAGATGGCCTGCATGTGATGCAATTGCAACCAATGTGCAGCACAAGAACTCAATACATACATCCCAGGAGCTGACACTGTGGATTGAGCCCATTGTGCTTCACCTGTGTGACTAGTGTCCCATCGTCCATCTCGCCAGAAGGTGAGGACTCCCCTTGAATCCAAGCGTAGGCCACCTGCAGACACAATTGGCAATGACACACAAAGAGTTTGGACAATCTCATCAAGTACATGCCTCAGTCAGCCACAAGCTGAACAGCAGGGACACTCTTCAATGTGGCGAAACATGGGCCAATCCGGCATAGCCGATGGTGCAGGGCAATCCCACAAGCAATCGTTGTAAGACAATAAAGCAGGGTTTGCTCAGACAGGATAGCATGTAAATGCTATCCACCCATGCACATGCAGCTGTTAGTGTAATCTTGAGTGCATCTGAACAATCTAAACAGGGAATTGTTTAGGGTCGGATATTAACACATCAAGGAAAACTCCGAATCGTTTGCATTGCAATCAGTATTTTGATGCTAGTTGAGCAGAAAGCCAAGGCTGTCAATGGACATAAAAACATCCAAGCTGACGGATGGCCTGTGGCAGGAAGCAAAGGCTGTGATTAAAAAGATGAAGTGTATGGACAGACAGCCGCATACCAGCTTGTGGACACACCCGAGGGCCGGTTCAACGATCCTGGGTATGTTGCACTTGCAGGCAAGCCTCAAGGGCTCCAGCACCTGGGAGACCATGCAACTCACAGATCACCACGGGAATTGCACCAATGACCTTTCCATGGCCCGCCATGGAATGTGCAAGCACAGTCAAAAAAGCATGTCGTGGGGCACATGTAGCCCACGCCAGTGTGCATCAGCCACATTTTAAACAGGGGCCCAAAGTGGCTGGGGCATTTCCTGAAGCAAGGTTACAACTTTGAGCCCAACGTTCTTTAAAAGCCCAGCCCAGGGTACCAGAACACAACTTACACCACAAGTGAAGTTCTCAATTGTGCTTAACAGCCACTTCAGATGCAGACTGGACACTGCCTGACAATATCAGCGTCCGGGCTGGGCATCCACAGTGATAGCCACGAGCATCCAACAAGGCCTCTGCCATCCAACAAACCACACATAAAAAGCATTCATCCAACTTGTGCCAGCCCCTGGGTCACACTTCAACCTCTCTTCAGCCTCATCTTGCAGGGAGTCTTTTCCCCATGCACATGCGCTCTCTCACTGCTCAAGAAAGGTCTTGGGAAAACATGGTTGAAATGTCACGAATCAACGTATTCCTGAACATAATCCGGCTCAAGAGCCTGCCACGAGCCTCTGCCCAGGACATAGCACATCAGGGCCAAGCCCCCCCAACCCACATACCACACTGCTGTGCTACGTCTACAATGTCACCAGGAACTGCACAATGGACTGGAGAATTCCCAACGGCCACATCACACCAGAGATCAACAGCGCTAACTCATTTTGAAAGTGCACTCCATTTCGAACGTACCGCCGCGGCGCTCGCTTCGTCGAACGGCACCGCCCAGCTCGTCCCCTCCTCTGCGCCCTTCTCCAGCCGCTCTGCAAACGCAACAGCCGCGCGCAGGTTGTTGTCATTGTTCATCAGATTCCTGGCGTGCGCAGCACCACAAAGCCGGCAAGTGCATGCGCTCCAGCTGCCTTCATGATCCGCGTTTGCGCCGAATCTGGGCCTGTCTGCAAGCCCCGCTGAAAGTTCGCGTGGTCGTTAAAACCGGCCGCCACTTCTTCAGCAGCGGCACCCCAATCCTACCCCAATTCCGTCACCTACACAATGCCATCGACGTGTAGCGCGGTCGACAGCACCAGAGCGGCCCCGTGCGAGGTTGTGATCGTCGCGCTGCACGAGCGAACCGTTCCCTCAGGTGGGAACGCGAAAGCCCGAAAACCCCAGGCCAGAGACGCGTCAAGCCATGCTTCGCTGACGCTTGACTCCCCACCGGGATGCCGGTTACTCCGTTGAACTTGCATGGCGCACCAACCACGTTTTACAGCTTAAAACAGCCAAGAGAAACACTTCCGTGGCGGCATCTCCCTCTCATGCATTCGCTGCCTCCCCGGTGTCAATCACAGCCCTGGCCGGAGGCGCGTCAGCGCGCCCAACCCTCACCCAAGAACGCCACGCAGGAAGCCCGGATCTCCGTCACGTCCCTCCCGCGGCCCCACGCTTCCCGCTGGATCCGCATGATCGCGTTCTTCACGAACACCTCGAAGGTTATTTCGTTGTTGGACTTGCCCCCCGACGCCGGCGCGAACGCGCTGGCCGCCGGGGCGGGCGGCGCGTCGCAATGACTCCGATCGGACGATGCCGAATCAATCTCCGGCGACGCGGCCATGCCGCTGGGCCCCCCGCGGGTCGACGCGTTGGGGCCGGCGCCAACCCCGGGTGCCCTCGGGCGTGCGGTCTGGGTGGCGGGAACCGGGCTCGGGTCGCACAACCCTCGCAGCTTGCTTCCCGGATGGCTGTCCGCAGTCGCCCTGTGCTGGCCACTGTGCAAGAGGGACTGGAGACGGCCAGTGTGACTCACACTGTGCGAGGTGCCCTCCCTACTCTGGAGGGCAGCAGCACGCTTGTTTCTTGAGGCCCGGGTCCGAGGGTGTATCCGGCTGTTTGCCTCCTGGATATTGCCGTCGACTTTCGGTTCACAAAAGCGCACTTGCGCCTGGATGTTCTGACGCAAATGAACGTTTGAATTATTGATGCGCAAGTGAGGCGGGCTGAAACGTTCTGAGGCTGAGAAATTGGGAAGCAACTAACTGCACGATTTCAACGTCAAACGGTTTCCCTGCGACGCGTTTCATTGCCCACGCGGTGTTACTTATGGCCCGTGATTTCCTGATGCACTTGGCGACCTCCGAGCCATCTCGAGCAGTCTGGGGTGGCACAAGCCCAACATTTGAGTGGTGGTGTTCCATGGAGACGGCTGTGTGGCGACCGGGTCTGTGCACCACAACACGCATTGTCGTCGACCAGGATTGGGCAGGGAAGTCGTTGCAGGCAATTTATTCCCACAAATTCTTCACTTTCCGCTCTGCTTCCCGTTGCTTTGTGAGCCGGTGCCTTCCAAGTGGCTCCCAGATGTAGCAGCCAGGTTTGGCTCCCAACTAACCCTATATCTTCTTGGTGTTGGCCCCTCGGTTTTTAACATCCCACAATCGCCTCCCGTGACGCATGGAACATATGGGCAGTTCACATCCCCTTCAATAACGAAATCACGTGATAGCACATGCGCATCCAACACATCTTGCAATAACACACACAGTGTCATCGTCCCTCCCAGGTTCGCAACAAGTCCCAAACGATTCAGCACCGCGGCCCTGACACGCCGTAACAGTCCACTGAACGAAGTTTGGGATGCGCGGGGCTGCCTGTGTAGCAGTTCACCACAAAGCGCCAGTGCAAGCGGCAAATCTCCCCGCCCCTCCCCTTCCAAAGGGCCTGAATGTACTGCTGTTGCGCCCGGGTCGCACCGGCTCAACACATGTCCACCAGCAGCACCCGGTGGCACTGCCCACCGCAGAAATTCTCCCAGCGCGCTATTCGTGGTCCGATTTCAGCTTCTTCTCCCTTTCTGCGCGGCCCACCCTATCGCCCGTGCCCTCCAGTCCCTCGTGCTCCCTCTTCTTTGCACCCACGTCTTCGGCCCCATCTTCATCCATGCATGTGACGCCTTTGCCGTCGGTTCCAGGTTCCAAGCCGCAGCCCGATTTCTCGGCACTGCTCCCACCTGTCGGGCGGGAGGCTTCTGGCATTCCAGCACGCGCCATGCCCTCCCGCAGCCTCTCGGCGAAGACCAGGCACTCGGGCTTTTTCACCATGACATTCAGCGACAGGCGGTCGCGCCAGCAGGCGACGGCGACCGGGCAGTTGGCTGTCAGGCCCCCTGCACCAACATGCACGAACGGCGTCGTTTGAGCGCACAGGGGTGGTTTGTGAGCGAGCCAAAAGCTGCAATCCATCAAATAAGGTTCTGAAGAGAACATAAATTGCAAATGCAAGCTCAGATGGCTTGCTCATGTCCATGTACATACAAAGGCATGCACTTCGATGTAACATATTAGACATGCATATTGATGCACTCCAAAGCACCGATGGTCAAAGCAGCATAGTTCTGAAATACTCTTTCGAGGTACTGAAGAGGACAACCAGGCAACGTCACTGGCCTGCCTTGCGAGTGCAGGACGATGTGAAAACCCAATCCAACCCTGCAATTACTGCCAAAGGGAATCAGCTGCCTAAAATATGCACAAAGCCTAAGGGAAACAGGCATGCTTGGAATCTGCATGCAGCAACCCTCTGTTGAGGTCATGGGGTTGCACAGGAAGGCCATGAATGAGCCACAGACAAAAGTTGAAGTTGGCTCTCAGTCTTAATCACCCGACTTGTGTGCAAGAGGCCACTTATCCGAACTCGCGCCATGGGCCTCCATTTCACTTAATTTCATTTAGTTCAGCACACTGCACCTCACATTGTTGCAACCGTCAAAGTCAAATCTTTCAGCATCAACACGAGAACTGTTCTAGCTGTCCATGCAAGCCACCAACCTCTATTTGGTAGCTAATCAGCCCAAAGCTTCTGCTGTATATTTGAAAGGCAGGGACGTGCCAAAACACCATACTGCCCTGTGTGATAAACTGATGTGAAAAACGCAGGATGCCTGACTTGCTTCTGTGCTACTCCATCCGGAACGTATCGAAATCGGTTCAGCAAAGTCCCAGAGCCTCACCTTTTGCCTCTGATGACAGTGGCAAGCCGAGAGCCACAGCCTGCTCGTCCCTCAGCATCAGCACGCACCCTCCATGCTGTGTCACCTTGAGCTGTTCCAGGGTTGCCTGATCGTCGAGTATGGGGCTCTTGGGTGTCCCGAAGTTGAGCTCCGCTTCCTTTCCCTCAGGGAAGCCTGGATCAGGTAGGTCGCGTGGCAGCGGGACTGAGCGCTCTTCCAGCACTCTCAGCATGTCCCTCACATGCAGATGAACCACCTGCTTTATGAGCAGACCATTCAATAACCGAACTTGGCTGCTGTATGACAACTTTGACAATATGAAATTGTCCTTCGTGAATTGACACTGACAATTGCAATTGTGATGTGAATAGACAATGCACCAGAAATGGGCAGCCCTGACGATCTGGGCAATGCTGCAAAGAAAATTCCCAAAAAACAACAGTGCACTGACCCAGCAGCTGCAACTCGATGACAGGCATATTTCCAACCACAAAGCTCGCTCAAGGAGTTCTCTCCAATTCCGCTCAACCCCAGCCCATGCAGAACACAGCAAAGGGAAAGAATCGCACCTGCTTGGTGATGTGAGGGAGGATGACAGGCAGGCCTTCCTGGGACAGTCTGTACACGCAAGGGATGCCCGTGCTCGTTTGGTAGTGGCGGTCAAACATCTGGGCAGAAAGGGAACACCATCAGTGTCTCAATTCTATGGCTGCATGATCTCTTGCCAAGCATTGTAATGCCCATATCGGCTGCTGGAAGAGCTGATCCTGTCTCGTGTTCTGTACTCAGTGGAGACACACACTGTGACCGATGATTCGTTTCTTTTATTGCTGTTACGGGTATGTGAACTCACAGTACGCTCATGTCATTGCAAAAGAGGCAAAAGCACAGCTCCTTCAGACACCTTGACCTTGGAGGCAATGATGCATACAATTCCACGTGCATGGTTGTTGCAGAGTTCTTGTTCGTCCCAGCCAATTTCCAAACTCCCAAGGTGAGCAGAAAGCGTGTCAGAAGAAAACGAGTCAGGGATACACTGTCACATGGCAACTGTACTTTAATGTATTGGGTCCATGACCAGAAGCCAGAACTGATGCTGGCAGAAACGAGTTGCATTTTGGGCACCTTTGGGGCACGATCTGTGATATTGCACCACTCTGCATTCTGCTAATTGTCCTGAAGTCCCTTGAGCGCTGCAGCAAAGCATTCAGCGCTGAGTGACATGCATATGGACAGCAGATCTGTTAGGAACCTTGTGGGCTTCATGACAAATTGCAGGCACAAGTTGACCCAGAGCAGTTACCTTCAATCCCAGCACAGGCATCCTGAGGAAATTCTCTGCATCAACGTCAAGCAGGTCACGCACTGCCTTGCTCACAAAGTAGATCTTTCTGGGAGCATCATTGCTGTTGGCGCGAGTAATCAGGTGTGCTGAAAGATCCACAGCATCAATACCATAAAACTGTTGCACTTGCTTCACCATCCAGTGATCGTCCATGGTAAAGATGCCATCTACACCTGGCCATTTGCCCTGCTTATGATTTGGTGAACGAACCCTGCAATGAAAAGCAAAAATCACATCATGTCTACAAATCATCTACAAGGAGCTCACTGCAAAAGCCTGTCATCTCCTTTGCAGCACATTGCATTCTCTTGTCATGTGTTCATGATTGTATTTGAAGGAATACAGTTACACTTTGTATGCCAATAAACTGTGATAGACAGAAGCTGCACAGCAATCAGTGCTAGACAATGGCTGAAAATAGAAATGCAGAAATGACGAAAGCAGTATGACAAAACAATATGAGAAAAGAAAGTAATGTGAGAAAAAAAATTAGGAAAACAAAAACAATAAAAGAAAAGAAATGCTCTTCTGTAAACACAAATTGCATTTCTTTCCATTGTTCTTGCAGTAAACTGGTGGTGGTGGTTGAATACAGTGCCACTACCATTGAGCGCCCTCCTTTTCTGCCACAGCTATGGGCTGGGCACCAGCCTCCTCCATAACCACATTGCCTCCTTTCTTTCCACCGATCTCCCCACCACCATCAGCAGCCTGATCCACCGAACCGTATTGCGATCCTGCAGCCTCCCTTTCTTCCTTATCCACCAATGCAGGAGGTTTCACATCACCGCAAGTCCCATCGGCGGGCTCCCCCTTGGGCTCCTCAGCCCTTGTTGTGCTGCTGGGCTGGCCAGGTTCAGCTTCAGTGCAAGACACCTCTCCATCCCGTACCTCCACTGATGAAGGCACGCCCGCAGCAGTTGTGTCCTTTGAAGATGGTGGGCCTCTGTCTGCCCTCATAGTGTCATTTGGCTTCGCAGATCTGCTTTCTGCTTTGTGTTGAGACACAGGCGCATTGCGTTTGTCTGGGGAGTGAACAACAGGATCAGGCTCTTATGTGCCTCACGGTGGATCTGCAGCTCCTTCTCCACTACCAAGGAAAAAACTTGCAGCCAGCATTTCCTTCTCAGTGCAAGTCCTACATTGAATCGATTGAACCTCAACTGCGATGAAAATTGATGTGACCAAAAGAACAAAGACAAAAATCCATAACATACCTTTTTTGGATTTTCTGTGCTCAATCGTGGGGTAGTCCACCACACCCAGTGGCGCCACCTTCTTGAGGACAGCAACAAAAAAGCCACCAGTATCCCCATCGAATGGCAGCAACCTCAAGCAGCGTTCAAGGGGCATGGCATCGGAAAGGGCATCTGGAAACATAGTTGGGTCCACAATGGTCGACGGTCCCTTTCCCATTTCATTTTCAAAGGCTTCCACGGCTTTCCAGTCACTGTACCACCTAAGTACAAACGAAGTATTTCTTCACGGCCACTGCAAATAAAAAACAGTAGTAACACATTACTAGGGCAGCATACAAGGGAGTGATATTGATGGAAAGAATAAACAACCTGTGGTACAGTAGGTGCCCCCTGCTAATGATGTTGACAAACTCCAGCATCTGGTATAAATACCTGCCACAACCAATGATACCACTAATCTTGCATCTGTATAGGTGTCTAGGTCTGTAGAGGTGAAGATCCCTGGCCCTCTTCGCATGCCTTTTTTAACCAGTTGTGGAACTCATTTTTGCATAGAGGGCTCTCATTTTGGGGCTTTCTCAGACATCTACTCTGCAAGTCCTCTGCAGAAAGGAGCACCCCAGACATCATACGCATGCTCTGTAAATTTGTCAGTGGTAAACAAGTAGTGCCGCCTGTATGCTGATGTCATAACAAGGATCGAACTGTGTGGCCACGCCAATGCTCCCGGGACAATGCCAGAGCAAAAGCCCATACCAAACAGCAATGAACACAAAAAAGTGGGTCGTTGCCAGTCTCTCAGTCTGTTCTCAACAAAGAAATCTTGCTTCACAAGGAATCCTTGACTTAGCACACCTGTCCTTGTCTCTCACTTTCCAAGTCTTCAAACCAGGGCGTGTCTTTAAGCCAGGAAGACTGTCTGAAACGTCCAGAAGTTCCATGCACCCACCCACGCGGCGAAGCACATCGGCCACAACAGCTTCGTTCTCAACAGGGTTTAATGAGCAAGTTGAATACACCATGCGTCCCCCTACCTGTTGCATGTCACAGAAAATGATCAGCCCTCTTCACAAAAATGTCAGCTTCAAGCCAGCCCGGCCAGTGTGGATGTTACTATTACAGACAACGAAATGCCCAAGCCTGAAATCCAGAAAAAGACAATTCCAAGGTGCAGAACAAACTAAGCAACCTCCCAAATGTCACCGCATATGCCATCAAAAACGTAACGGTCACATGGTGCAAGATTTTTCACACATAACAGCAATGCATGGGGCAACGTAATTCAGCTGCACTGGCAACAATTTTGGCCGCACGTCAACTAATGCAAGCCTTGCAGCTTGGCACTGCTTGGCTCAACCCAAAACTTCAAGCTGCAGTTCGTGGCACGCAAGTATTTTGCCCTCCCACTGCCAGACAGTTCCAACTCCTTGACAGACTCTCAAGCATTAATCGGCCTTGGTTCCATCAAGACCTGCAATTGAAATGCCCAGGTCCCAACAATTGACACATCCACTGTCAGCAAACAAACACTGGCCGAATGCACCCTGCAAACCCTCAAAAGTACACAGGCTCTGTTTTGTCATTCACAGTTTGACCTACTGTACAAAGTTCACCAACACTTACTGTTAACATTTTCAAGTAGCAATTCTCCACCAACATTTCTCCACCAAGAAACAATTCTCCATTTCACACCTTCAGGACTTTGCATGCTCGGAGCGCAATTCGCAGCTGCAGGTTGTGATTCCCATTCCCATCATACGGAGTCCATCTACTCCAAATGTCCGGTGCTTTCCGCAAGGTGCCATCCCCACTGCAGGGGACATCACACAGCACACGATCAAAATCCAGTAGGGGCTGCACACAACAAACTGCGTCTCAGATCGAGGGATGGCAATGCCAGGGGTGCTGCATGGGTTCCAGACATGGCCAAAGAAAGGCATTGAATTGCACAGTGGCACTGCAGTATGGTCTGATATATTGCAGTCAATTCTACATGGCCACTTGCAATACTGTCATGGTTCACCATATTGTGGTTCGCTGCATGTTAGAACGACAAACATGAAACGATTTTTCTGTTCTGTTGTTGTGCACGCAGCAGCATGCTTCTCCCTTTGTGCTGAAACGGGATATGATAGAACTTTCATGTCTCAGAACACAATCCCGACATCCTGGCATGGAATGGCATCATTTTCTTGACAATGTAGCACATGAACAAAATATTGGTTTGACTTTCCAGGATGCCCTATTCAACTTTCTGCATTGTTCTGCTGTGCTTCTGGCAGCTGCACGAATTTCCAGTCAGATACATGCTCACAACAATGCATAGACAGATGCACAGAAAATGCAGTGAGCTGGATGCCGGAAGGCACACTTTCTTCATTCCCAATTTGCTAGCTACTGTGCATATCTGACCTCCTTTAACCTCTTTACCACTGTAAACAAGCACTGTAAATTGCTCTCCATACCAGTGTTCTATTTCTTGTCCATGAGTTCAGCTCTCAGGAGCTCACAGTTTTGGACAAAATGGGGATTTTGATGGTTGGGATTGATGGCAATCAATGCCAAGCACAGCATCATAAGAAGCAATAAACCAGGGTCCCGCATGACACAGCATCCCAGCCTGACAAAATACAACCACCTCACCATCTGCAAAAAAGTTGCAATTTAGTCAGAGCAACAGGGACAAATGAGTTGTATCCATTCCGTCAGGCAAAACACTTTGGAAGCAAACACTTGTGGATGTCAACAGTGCCCCAACACCTCACCAAATCGATGCTGTGCTCATGTCCATTTTGTGCTTTCCATTTTCTCAAGCGACACTTTAGAATGACAGATGCCTGATAGATTCAATGGTAGCACTTCATCTCTCTTCAATTACTGCAGAGATTGTCTTATGCTGCAGGCAATGCGATTCGTTCAGCTGTGCTTGCACACCTGTTGCTCTCGCCTCCTCGGCTTGGGATATGGGTAATGGGCAGCATCGTGGGTTGTGATGACGAGAGCGGGGCTGCAGACCCTCTTTATCTGATGAACAAGCAGGTTGCACCTCTGAAAATCAGCATCGTTTGCAATCACAAAGCCCGTAGGTGGTGCAGTCGGCTCACCAGCATGCAACATCTCCAACAACTGAAACGTCTTCGATCCAGGGGCAGCACACATGTCAAGAACCTGTGCGCCCACAAGAAACATTCAGGACCAAACATGACCCTGGACACAGGCAGTGGAGGTATTGCTCGTGCTGGCATTTGCAAGGCTGGCTGCAAAATGGAAACTTCAGGTTACAGGCCTGAGCGCCAAACATCTGTTTCTGGTTCTTTCATGAGAGCACATTTCGCCAGCGGGGGGCATATTAGCATCATGCTGTGGAGCACAACAATAGCTGCTCATGCACGGTGCAGGTGGGAGGTTGTCCTCTCTTGTCAGTCTTTCTGTGGCCAAAAATCTGGCATTTGGTGGACCTCTAACACAGCAACAACATCATGGAAATGTCCATGTCTTAAAAGGGTATGGGAACCAAACACAGCCATTGCCTTGAAAGGAGTCTGGGCTTACTTTGCCTGCTTTTTGTTGCAGAAACAGACCACAGCAAGATGCAGAGGACACAATTGTTGACAATAAGATAGCTGTGCGTACACATACAATCGTATATGCCATTTGCATAAGCAAATCTTTGCATGGGCACAAGCAGTAGAGTGGCAAAATGCCCAGCTCCAGATGCAGTAATAGCATTGCAGCATAGGAGCAAAAAAAATCGTGAAGAGTAGATGACCATAGGTTGCTCTGCCTGCTACTCGACTGGTCCAGCTTGTCTGTTGTGGACAGTCCAATAAAAGACAGGGATGCTGCCAACAGAAAGGAGTGTCACTTTCCTGATGAGGCAGGATGCTGACATCACACGACAGGTGAAAGGCCAATAGACTGTCTTGTAGTTCACGGACGAATCAATGGAGAATCACCTTGTGATGAGGCTGGACGTCAAGAAGCAAGGGCGGCAGCATAGACACTGCTTCTTGGCGGCTGATACTTCCAACATCATTCTCCCTCTTCATGAACTCATGGATTTGACTCAGCACAGGATCCTTTCTCAAATCATTCCTGGACATGTCCAGGCGATAGGCCAAGCCACCAGGATACCACTCTAACTTATGGGGAGGCTTGCATGTGTCCTTGCGCTGAGCACAAAGCACAACAAGCATCGTCACCATGCAGTCAGCAAGCTCTACGACAAAGAAAGAAGAAAAGGAATACACTTTTAAAGACTGATGACAATGCTGTGTTGACAAAATGGACACAATGAACAGAAATGGGGCCACCTTCTGAAAGTGGCAGTTCAAATAGATAATGTAGGGCAAGTGATTCCAAGACCCAATTTTCCTGTTTGCTTCAGCAGTCCTCCACGGCCAATGGTTAACACTGCACAACTATGAGGAGGGTATGCCCACATATCATGAGGAATCTCTCTCGGCACCTGATTCCAACTGCCACAAGGCCCACAGAAATAAAATCATAAACAATACAATCAGGACAATCATGAATGTTGGTGGCTGCAAAAGGTGGGAGCAGCAGCAGACTGGAAGGCTTTGTCTTGATGCAACATTCAACCTTGGCATACCCAATCTTTAACAACCAGTATAGGTCAGTGCTCCTACCAGCTCCTTGACTTTTGAAAAGATGTCTTCCTCAAGTCTCTTCTGCAGTGTCTCGGCAAACTTTCCCTTTCCATTGATCCTGAAAGTGATGGGAAGGTCCGTCCGCAGAGTGGTCATGAACAAATCCCACTGCCCCTCAGGGACGATGCCCTGCTCTTTGTAATACTCTTCGAACATTTCATTTTCTACAGTGTGCTTGCTCCATCCGTCTGCCTCATTTTTCCCTCGTCGTGTGATCTTGGGATCCCACCAGTCTTCCCTTTTTGCTTTGAAATCTTTTCTCTGATTGCGCCCCTACTTGTTCAATCACCCACAGAGATCCATTCTTAAAATAGTCACCATACATGCTTGCACACAAAATCATCACAAAATCAGGGACACGAAACAAATAACAAGGCCCTTACCAAGCTTGGGAACCTGGAACACCACAGCGGCTGGAAGAATCGCCCCCAGCATACAAAGTCATCTATTTGGTCATGCCTCTTTTCTGATGCAAGCAGGATAATCAGCATGTGCATGGGGTTTTGTTGATCAGCAAGTGCATTCAGTGATTTGTGGCAAGTTCAACCATTGGAGCTAGGCAAACCTGGTGCACAGAATACAATACCACCAGAGAACCATTGCGAAGATAACGAAAGCTTGTCCTCGTGTGGGAAATAGTGCGCAAGTGTTGGCTGCAATGGCACAGGCCAACGAATCTGTGCTGATCAATGCCAGGGCAACAATTGGTGGGAGCTCAACACCTGCTTTCAATGGTTCCAAAGCGCTTGTGTCATCGCTCAACCCGCCTGACGCGCTTTGCAGCAGAGATTTTGAAGGGTTACTGATCACAAAGCCGTGACGCCCAGTTCAAAGCAGACTTGCCATCAATGTGAAGCTCACAGCAGTGGGAATCCAACGGGCAGATGAAAGCGGAAAGCATCCCAGTGCCGTCCGAATGTCACGAAGCAACTCGATCTCAAGTCCCCTCCCCCGCCCCTTGCGATCGCCGACACAGGGAGCCGCCACACACAACTCGCCTTCCACTTGCTCTTCCCCATGACTTGCGAAGAGCAGCGAAACTGTATCCTGCCTGCAGCGCTCAGGCCACATACGCCCACCGCCACCAGACGCACAAATGCTGTCGTCCAGCCAGCCGTCAAGCACAGTTGAAGGCTCGCCGCAGTGTTAGCAGCCAGCCCAAGGTCCCCGCACAATGTACGGGCAGCGTTTTAGGTGGAGTGCACCTCTAGGCGCAGACGCTTTTAGGAACTCTGGGTTAGGGCCGGCGGTGGTGTGGGCGGGTCTGGTTGTTGTTATAAATACCAGCCGCCGCCTTCTGCTGGTCTGGGGCCCTTCGGGGTCCTCACGATCCTTCCGGTTCTTTACGATGATGAGTGGAGTCTCACCGTGGCAATGGTGTCAGGTGCACGCCCCTGCCACTTGTTACGCATGGGTGCACCCTCCAGATCTGATAAAGAAAGAACCGCAACGGGAAGGGCGCCCGCGGCCAACTGGTCCCTCGCCGAAATTTTGTGAACCTCTCGCTTGTGGCTTCAGCGCGATCTTGTGAGTGCAGTGTCTGAGCGCGTTGGCGGACATTTTTGGCGAGGGTGGTGGAAATCCGTTTCCTTTTGCTTCTGGGCGGTGCGGCTGGCGGCTGCCCTGTGCTGCCCTCAGATCAGCTGTCATTCTCTCTTGGACGCGGATGCACGGATCACCCCTTGGAACACCACCAGAGTGGTGTTTTTGTCTGTTCCGATGATAGTGGCAGTCGGAGGCCCGTTGAAGTCTCTTGAATAGCTGCTGATGACACATCTGGTGGCAGCGGAGACAGATGTCAGCACCCGCCGCAGTCATGCCTCGTGCATGCCCAGTGTTCTTGTGAGCTTTTGGGCTGTCTGAGCAAGTACTCCCGACCTGTTGCAGTGTGGGAATTGTTCATTTCTTTTGTGCCATGCAGCCTTTCCCATCCCATTCGGATGGACAGATTCGCACAAATGCCCTTTATAGTGGTACCTGCCCTTCCCCCCCTTGCTCCCCTGCCCTCAAAACCAGGAAGTGCGCTCGGGTCAAGGTGGCCGCTAAAGTTGGAGGCCATACCTTGCCAATGGTTTGCATAAGGCAGCTTTCACACTGTTTGTGGTGTACCTGTGCGTTGTGTACAATGCTCACCATGTTGCTGGTGTGCATTGCTGCATATGTTGACTGTAAAAATCCAGCAACGATGTTACAAATGCCAGTTTCGCTCAGATTGCAATGAACTGAAGAATGTTGGATTGAGCACAGTGGATGTCAGTGCTGGAGGTAACAGGTCTACTGCTTCTCCACCAGGGCCTGTGCAGCTTTGCACTGGTCTGTTGGGGGAGCAGTGGACTTGTGGCCTTACCTCAGGACCTCCGTTTTGGTGAAGCTGATTTCTTGGACAGCTTTGTGCCAGAGATTTGCTCTGCTGAGAGAAACTGCCACGCACTGTCTGAAGCAGAACTGCCATGTACTTGGCAGCAAATTGCGGCTGTCCTCAATTACAATGTGCATGGTGACCTGCACCGCACCCCATTTCGAGTATGGCAAAAGTAGGAGCCAGCACCAGCAGAGGGGCCCGGTGCTCATCATCGCATGAAATGCGCAACAGCAATCCTGTGTATTGTAGTGAATGTGGGCTTCCAAGAAGATCGACACTTAACACTGAGTTTATGGTAATTCAAGCTAACAATGAGCAACGAGAGGTGTCTGAAAGGGCGCTTGATGCAACTACGTGGCCGGGCATTGGACCTGTGCCCCAAGAAGTTGATATGAGCATTCCTTCCATGGACGGAACTTATTGGATAAAACTTTTAATGTTGAGTGTTCTTGACAAACTATAACGACATAAATAACAATCCATATCTATTGATTGCAATTACTGGAAATGCCAACAAGCGCTTTTTGCGGTCGATACGGTGATCAGAACAAATTGCCCATATATGAAGAAATCCTGTTACTCAACCCATGTGATAAGGCACACGAGACTCCGACGTGCATTTGTTTAACCAAAGGGCAAAATTAGATATGGAACATTGTACAATGTTCGCCATGTTGGCTGGATTGTACCGTTGGAAAGGCTCCTGCAACTCGTGTGGCGGCTCGTCTCGGCCATCAAGTGCAGTAACCAAGAGAGGATGGGGCTTTTCTACCCCCAGGCCTTCTCGCATGGTGGCAATGGGTTACACATGAACGCGCAGTTCAATGTACACGAGTTTGTTTTCAAGATTTGGTCATTCGAATTGGTACTGTCACTGCGTTCAGTGATATCTGAGCTCTCACGAGAAGCACTAAGAGCACATGATTATGCATAACGGAATGTTTTGAATCAGTTGTTTTGTTTTGAATCATAGCTTCTTCATGAAAATCATGTATCAGCATTCCAGTATATTTTATTTCCTGTGTATTTTCCCACTCCAGTATATAAATCTATGTACTCACGACACATAAATAAACGATTGGCAAGGGGCATGCCAACGCATCAAAGTTTTAGTTTAAACATGCACTTCTCACAATAATGCTTGACACATGCTGTTCAGTATATATGTCGCTGACAGCATTTAGTGATTTAGGATTGACTGAACGAGTCAGAACCTATTTAAGTTATGCCATAAGTAGCAACACGTCATAATCATGGGGTGGGGCGTGTGGTGTTAATGTTGTCGAGCATTGGGAGTCCTTGCAGAGAGGAGTGCAGTCTATGGCATTTGATAAACTACAAAAAATGAAGCTGCATGCCAGGACTCGTGTGTCGATTTCCATGTTATCATAGTACATGAAGGTCGCATGACCGACCTGCTGTTCATTCCAACCAGGCTTGGACGTTACGCCGTAAAAACTGATCATATTTATGGTTTTACACGTAAAAATGCGTAAATATACGTAAATGGCACATAAATACAGTCCCATGTACGTAAGGACAGTACATACAGACTTGCGGAGTCCGGGAGTGGCAGCCAGACGCCCTCGAAGAGTTTTTATTTCACGCCATCGTCGCCCTTGCCAAAGGCAAGGTGGACGTTTTGTTGCAGGTGCTGGAGATTTCATCGTGTAACCTCTCTGTCCCAGGGAACCGTACAAACGTAAAAATAACCATAAAAATAGGCCCTTTCACAAATTTACGTTTCTACGCATACAAACGTAAATGAAAATGCCAAAGACCAGCCTGATTTCAATTGCATTAACTAAGAAGCCTGCGCTCTGCCAGACCATCATGTACTCAACGGTGGCCAAACTTCCACTAGAAGAACGTGAAGTAAAGCATCCGTGGGATAGAGGCTTCGCTAATCGAAAGTTTGCAGGGCAAGATTCCCCGGATCCACTGAACCATGATCGTACGAAATGGTGACTCTCACCTCTAACGTTTCAGCGCCAAAGAGATCCATTGATCCCTTCCATTGGCTAGACAAACTATATACAACAAAAAGGGACTCACCTCTAAAACACACATCAATCCATCAATGGATGGACGGGACCAGTCCATTCATCATAACAGGTCTTCTATTCACATAAGACTCCCTCTTGGTGAGTGAGTCGTTTTTGCCTAGAATTGAGAGGGGCTCTCCTTTGTAGATAAAATGGCCAGATTCTTGGTGCATCGAATAAACCCACATACAAAACAACAACATACATTGCACTGCACACACGAATGCATTTTGAACAAATTGTTGCTTATTGATAACTCATGGAATGCAATACTGCAGCTCTGCGACCGCTAGCTATTATAGCTATAATAGTTGTATTGGTATTGATTCCGATGGCTATGTGACGATTATTTGCCGATTTACTGTTGTCCCCATATTTTAGCTCATGGGTTGTTGGCCTGTAGCGACCGCGCTCAATTGAATCCAATCAAACCTTCAAGTTTGAAACATGCATCATCGTCAGTGATTATTGCCTGATTATGCAAGCACTCAGTGTCAGGTGAGGGTATACACTATGTCGACCTCGGTGTGCCAAGTTCCTATCAATTTGACCTCTAGTTGGCGGGAGTCTACAGCTTAATCTGCAAAAATGAGAACATAATATACATGGACAATGTAAATTTCGTTGCAACAATGTAATTGATAAATATCAATTTTTAAAAAAATCCTTTTATCAATCTTTTATGAAAAGAATGGATCAGAGCTAAGAGGATGTCGAGGGCCTTGCTGATTAGCGGCAAACAACACTCGGGTTACAAGATCGTTGGACAACCCACGCTAGCCGCGGTGGGCTGCATGGGCACCCGCCCCACGTCGTCGGCATGCGTCGGCATTAACAAATGCCATGGGTAGGCATCGGCTTCCAAGTGGGGCCCCATGTCGGCCAAGCTGCGGGCCGACCAACGTGTCGGGTTGTGGACCCCGCATCAAGTTTGACATGTGGGATAACGCAGCCATCTATGGGCCCAAATCCGACGCTTGCCGGTGCACGTAAATGTTGTTCATGCACCTGTCCGCCCACACCTCAGCTGCATGGGCTCCTACTCAACGCACTGAACAAGTCGGTGGCCCAACAACCTTTTGTGCAAAATGTTGGTAAGGTCCGAAAGGATGCACTTGTGCGCAACATCGCGACTATGTGTTTTTTTGGGCAAAACGGTTGTGCTCCAGATTGGCCGTTAGAAAACAATGAAATTTGTGTGCAACATTGCCATTTTTAAGTGCGCAAAAAGAGAACAGCCTGCACGCCTTTACAACACCAGTTCTCGTGCTTTACATCACCAGCTAAAGAACGTTGTTGCAAAAAAAAGTACAATACGGGTGCCGCCCCCCCCACCCCACCCCACCCCACCCCACCCCACCCCGACCCCACTCCTTAACGTCACCCCCACCACCCCTACCATCCACCGGCGTAGCCCCGCGTTATCACACACCCAGACAGAGACCCCCTCCCCAGCCCTGCTCCTCCTCTCCCCCCCCTCCAAGCTGGCTGGCCAGGGCAGTTCTCCCTCCGCGAGGTGGGGCGGCGGCATGGTCGCGTCTCTTGGCGGAGCCAAAAGAGTGGGGGGCATCCCCGCTGCATCTCCAGGGAGGGGCGACGGGCGCCCCTTTGG